AAATATATAGGTACGACTACTATTTATATTAATGTTACTTCCACGTACAGGATTCAGGAAATAATAACATCAACTCCAATTTGTTAACCAACAAATATATATTGAATAAAATACAAGAAGCATGAAATAAAATCGTATTCACAATATAGATTAAAGAGAAGGAAGTTGTTTCCCTTTGACTGTAGATTGATTGTAATCAACCGTTTGAAGAAAGTTCTCTTGTGAGATAGATGTTCCGAAATAATTGTTAGAGCAAAGTTTGCATGCGAAGAATGAATAACACGAAGAAATACAATTGCTTTGCATGTGTTGTAAATAAACTGGTTTGAATCAACAAAGTTATGGTTGATTGTGCTTGGCGAAAGTTACAGAGAGAAGATGTAAATTTGTAGTTACGAAATTCTGTGTCTGTGTGTGCGTTAGAGTGTGATGAGCAAGATCGTGGATTTGTGTTGACGGCTGGGATCTTACTGAATCTTACTAGCGACTTGTGAAAAGTCTCCCTATTTAAGGAAAAGAGGTAGGCTCCCACGGAACAGCGGGAAAACTTGATCTTGCATTAAAAATATGATTCGTTAAAAATTAACCAATCACTGCACACGTACTAAACAGAATAGGTAAGTATGCTCAGAACCAAGATATTTAAAGGAACGACTGCGATGGCTAAATTGTCCTATATAAAGTTAGTAGTAATTTTTTAACCAATCGCAGGTGAATTATAGGACTTGGAGTGTATGTGGGTGTGAAAAACATAGCAATCACTATAAGTGATTACAGTTTTGAGGAGCAGGAACCACCTCTTAATTGCTGTTGTTCCCAGGTCCACCCAGATCCGGGTTGGTAGTAGTTGTTAGGATCCCACCTATGGGAAAATAGTTAACCCCCAAACTGGGATCAAAACACTATTTAAGTATAAAAATATTTTTATAGTAAAAATACCAGCAATACATTTTCATAGTAAAAAAAAAAAAAAATAAATTAGCAGCAATATATTTCTGTAAAAAATATAACCAGCAATATGTTTTTCTAAAAGAAATTACTAATGCTCCAAAAGAAATTTAAATTTCGACATTAAATTAGGGCGGACTCCACCACATTAATTTAACTTAGATTAGGAAACCAAACTGATGTGAAGGAAAAGAGGATAATCCAAAGACATGATTACACATAAAATTTGTATTTAACAAGATGTACAAACAAGGATGTGGAAGAAAAGCATGCATTGAGTAAAACAAGAGTTGTCTCTCTTTAACTATTAATTGTTCCAAAGTTCACTGAAAGAAATAAGGTTGTAATAGTTTCTGGTAATAAATGTTTTCAACAGTTTTGCTGTGTAAGAAAAAAAGATTATGTGACTATAGGGAATATTCAGTATGTGAGTAGTGGTGTGAGTGAGTAGGTTGGCGCATGCTTTCAACTGTCGTGGATTCCTGTGGCAGCTGAAATCTCACTCATTAACTAAGAATGTTCTTTGCTTATATAGGTGACCATCGGCTCCGAAAGCGCTGCGCGGGAAGAATCACTCTTCACGTGCAGACAATCTGATTGGTTGGCATTGACTAATCATCGAGCGAGCTTTGGGGAGTCTCACGAAAAACTTCTAGGATCTGATTCTCCCAAAAGTGCACAAAATCGACTACATGAAAATATAGCGATTATAAAATTGTCGCATAGTTGAGATTTATAAATTGTCCATTACACAGTAGTGTTGATTTATTATCCAGTGAATGCTTGTATAATTTGAATTTGCGTAAGTATGTATGTATGTGTGTGATGGTGATGATCATCACAAAATGACCCATAAGGCGTTGATATGCCGCTCCGCTAAATAAACAGACTATGAAGACTGACATCTGGCGAAAGAGGCACTTCGACGTAATGCTTGCCTGACTGAGTAGTCATTTCAGTCCTCATTGAGTTGTTCCTACTTGCGGCCTTGTGTCATATCTTAGCTAACTTTCGTAAATCACTTATTACTAACACTCTTTTTTACTTGGTTTATAAATAGTTGTAAATTCATTGTAAATACACATTGATAAGGGTTAGATATTTATAAATTGTTATGCCCCCCCACTTTCCCAAATCGTGGTATTTTGGTGATTTTAGTAAAAGATGGTATGTAAAAATGTGGCATTATGGTTACTGGAGCATTATGAGACGAGTGGGTTAGTGAATGAGACTAGTTAAATTAAACGTAGGACAAATGAAGCCCAGTCTACCCTCTCCCTAATTTCAGCCTTGTGCTACATTTGATAGTATTGTGCCAATCTATATTGCACATACATACATACATACATACATGCATACATACACAAATACAAATCACATACAACGACAAGCATTCATTGGTTAATAGATCACCACTACGTCATAAGAGACAATTTACAAATCGCAGCAATGCGACAATTTTGTAATCGCTCTATTTACATGTAGTCAATTTTGTGCACTTTTCGGAGAAACGGATCACTGAAGTTTTCTTAAGTCTCCTCAAAACTCGCTCGCTGAATGGTCAATGCCAACCAATCAGATCGTTTGCACGTGAAGTGTAACTTTTCCGGCGCAGCGATCTGGAGCCTATAGCCACTTATATAAGCAAGAATTTTTCTTAGCGAATTAGTGAGAATTCAGCCACGTGAAAATTCCTCCTTGGAGGAGTTTCTAACGCAGACTTATCATCTCTCAGTTGCGTCTCTGTCTTTGGACAAAGTGCACTCAGGGGCTTCTCTGTCAAAGGACAGTGGTGCAACTGAGAAAATTATACTGAGAAATGCCCAGCCCCGGGGAAAAGCTGCCCGAGGCCACGCCCTCCCATTGCACCAGAGGGAGGGATCGGTGCTCGCACCGAGGCCACCGAGGCCAAAACGACTGGTTGCAGGGTCTGTGGGGAAATTTTTCAGCTGCCCTTGTCCAAGTGTACGGTCAGCTCACTTCCCCAGCTTTAAAACGACCTTGTGTCACATCTTATATTCTGGTGGGGGAACGAATAAACACCCTGAAGAATTCAGCGGTCTGCCAAACGAATCCATTAGTGATAGTTGCAAACGAATGAAGTTGCACATGAAGAGTAACTTTTCCCACACAGCGGTCTGGAGCCTATAGTCACTTATATAAGCAAGAATTTCTCTTAGCTAATTAGTGAGAATTCAGCTGAAGAGTAACCAAACGAATCCACGAAAGTTGAAACCATGATAGTTGCACAAAGATTTCTCACTCATAGTCACTTATATAAGCACACCACTCACATATTTAAGAACATTCCTTATACAGTAATTAGTAACCCAAATATAAGAGAAACCATGTTTTCACACCGGAGACATGTCTCTTATATCCCGGATATAAGAGAGTTTCTATATCCGGGTTTGGTCTATTTTGTTTAGGTAAGTATGGGCTCTAATTTGGGACCAGAGAAAATCTCTCTTATATCCGGGTCTCTTATATCCGGGTTACACTGTACACTCACATAATCTTTTCTTACACAGCAAAATCTTCTGAGAACTGTCATTATAAGAAACTCTCATAAACATTCTTCCAGTGAATTTGAAATACTAAAAATACAGTTAAAGAGAGACAACTCTTGTTTTATTCAACTTTTACTTACTTAATGCATGCTTTCTTGTACATCTTGTTAAATACATATTTTATGTGTAACGATATCCTTTTCCACGTGGGACTTGTTTCTAAACTAAAGTTAATGTGGTGAAATCCGTCACATTTACATTCATCAATAAGTACAAAACATGGCGAGTGTAGTAGGAATTGTAAGTAAGAATGTGTTTTGGTTCAAGAAATATTATCGAATGATTGGGTCAGTGATTGAATAACCTAGAAAGATAGGACAGTTAACGACTAGTTCGTCCGCTCTGCCCTACAAATATAGTACACACCTGACGAAGTCCACAACAGCCGAAACGTTGCATGAGATGCTGGTCCGAATAACAAAGTATTTTTTTTTCTGAATATTGTCTCTCTTTGAGACAGTAGCGTGTAGAAGTGGGGCAGAGGGTGCGACGGCTACGGGCGTCTATCCATATAGGGATGACATCCAATCAAAGAGTGAAATAAAAATTTAGTCTAAATTTTTAATTTAAATAAAGTGTTTATTTCATGTTTCGTCTGTTTTTAGTACATAAAATAATTAAAATGTCTTTCTTTCTCATACTTCCCCAATACTAGGCTCCCCTACTTGAGTCTTAGAAGCATACAATCATTGATTGAATCATAGTTGGCCCCTGGCATTACCAAACATTACCAAACCTCTGCACGTCACAGTTCTGGGATTTTCGGCTTTGGTAGAATGTTGTCATAGTTCGTTGACTACTTCACCACGCCCATATTGTGCTAAACACCGTAGTAGCAGCCTAAGAATCGAAAGCAGGAAAAATATGAAGTTCTCTTCTGCTTCCCAGATTAAAGAAAGAGAAACATTGTTTTTATGATGGACTCGTGTTACTGTAAGTGTAGTCCATTACATGTTCATCAGGTTTGAACTTAAAAAAAATCTCAATTATGCTTGGGAAATAAGGTCTGCAGACATTTGTCCTAATTGGCTAAGCTAAGAAATGTTGATATGGATAAAATTACATGTAGATATGGATAAAATTGCAACATTCTTCACTACTCCCAAATAAAAGCACAATAATCATAATGTGTTGTTATTATGAGTAGTAGTAGAGAATTAGAGACAGACCTAGATAATTATTTTTAAAAGATTAACACTGTAAAAACGCTAAATTTTAGTGTTACACAAAAAAAAAACTGTTACAGTACTTTTAGTGTTAATCTTTTCTCTCTCTCTACTGTCATCATCACAACGAATAAGAAGAAAAAAAGAAAAAATTTTGTTCTATATTTCATTGATTTCCCCTTTTCTTCTACTTAAAAATTTATCAAAGTGGGTCAAAAAAAATAAAAAATAAAAAAGCAAAGGTTACTTAACGCTTTGCTTGCCTTCAATTGCTTTTTCATCCCTTAAAGAAGACGACGACGACTGGATTTTTACTATGGACGGCAGGTTAGTTTTTTTTTTTTTACTTTTAAAATAATTTTACTCTATTTCCTGCATTTATTTCTATTTTGAAATAAGAAAAGAAAAAAAAATGAGATTTCTAGCATTTATTACATTGATGGAAAGATCTTTTCCCGCTGTTCATTTTTGTTGATTCGTGGGTAAAAAAAAAGGGTCCGGTAACTGAATCAAAAATTTTTCGGGTATGTGAAGTGTGCATGCGATAAAATTCTGTTTTTAAACTTTTTGGTTTTTAGTGCGGGAAAACATTTTCTTTTTTCTAGGCAATAATTAATTTTTCTTGCAGTGTGTTTATGTAACTTGCATAAACACACTGCAAGAAAAATTATTGCTATTCTTACCTGTTTGTAAGTTACATACAAACAGGTAAAGAGCAATTTTGTTTTTAAATAGAGCGAAAACATTGGAAATAAAAGATGAAAGCAAAAAAGCAAACAAAACTTCAAATAATTAAAAAAAATGAACAAATACAAATTACATTCAGAATTTTAAAAAAAACCTCACACACATCTAACAAAAAAACAAAACAAAAATAAATAAATAAATAAAAAACAACCTAACCAACGTGATAAATACAAAAGGGAAAAAGCTGACACTCCCTCTCGTCTAGATTAAATCATTATTACAATTTTATTAATTTTTCAACCTCACGTAAAAGACTTCATCCCCTACGTACCCCCCCCCCACTAAAATGCCAGCAGGCCTAATACCAGGTCCTTGTTGGTTTCCCTAGAATACCAATTTTATTTTAAAAAGTATATTCTCTATTGTTCATGATTTTCACTCGTGGCTAGCCTGTGTAAGGATTAAAAAAACAAAAAAACAAACAAAAAAAAACAAACAAAAAAACAAAAACAAAAAAAAAACAAAAAAAAAAAACAGCATTTTTCGAATAACTGTGATTTTTGTTTTTCTCCAAAGAAGCAGGCAAGCCTAACTTTGAAAATTGGCGCCGGACAATCTTCCCGATCTCCATTTTCACCTTCTTGTGTCATACTAAAAATCCAAACATAAGAAAACAAATCTCAAAAGTCAAAGGCTCAAACAACAAAATCGTTAGAAAAAAAAATGGCAGAGATTCGGTAACCTCCCCCCACCAAAAAAAAGCTGCCGTCTAATTTTGTCGGAAAATGCATAATTTTCTTACGCATTTTTAATGGTAATTTTTTTCTAAGAGTAGATTAGATGTGTCACAAGGCCGAAAAGCATGGGGCACCCAGTGAGGATCGAACTCACTGCTCAGTCGTACTCGTAATCATTCTTCATAGCAAGACATGCTTGCTATTTGCTAACCATTTTTTTACCACCTCGAGATGCCCTAAGAATAGTTTTCTAAGCGTAGCTTAGATGTGGCACAAGGCCGAAAGTATGGGGCACCCAGTGAAGATCAGTCGTAACTCGTAACTCTGATCTAGCTAGAAAAGCTTACTAACCATTTTTAGAAAAGAAGAACTATTCATTACATTGTTTTTACTACACCATATCGAAATGCATGGATCGGATGTCTAAATGAATTACTTTTTTTTATCGGGGAAATTAACTTTTTAAAGTTTTTTTCTTTTTTGATGATTCGATTTAAAATGTAACTTTTAAATTTTAAACTGGACCCTTTGAGTCCGTTTTTATGAGAATTGGTCTTTTTTCGTTAGTTTATTTAAAAAAAAAACTAAAAAAAAAAAGGAAGCGAATCTTTTCTGATAAATTCACCCCAAATAAATAATTGTTGTTACTGTTCAACAAAGGTACATATTTGGCAACAGAATGAAAGATTATTAAAAATCAGGGAGATATTCCCATTTCGTAAGTGGCGATTCTACGGAGGGGCAGAAGGGGCCAATGTCCCCCTCCCCCGCGAACTTTTGGCTGGCCACTCGGTTGCCCCCCCCCACTTTTCTAAGTTTTAGGGAAAAAATCATAGCAGACAAATTACGCTGTTCTGCTAGTATTGATGTTAGTATTTTTAACCCTTTGATTTTGTTTTGAACTTAACCTCTTTTGTGGTTCAACAGCTTGCGAGTGGAAAAGAGGGCAAGAATAGATTAGAACTCCACTACTATGAATGAAAAGTTATTCCGTTTAATTTAGTGAAGTAACATACTTACACTAAAACTCTTTCCTAATTTGTGTATACGATGTTATTGTAAATTGAAAATAAAGACGTTGCTTGAATTTGACGCCCCCATCGCAGACAACCCCCAAGTTCCCCCCCCCCGAGTTTTTTTTGTAAAATAAAATAAGTGGTGGGTAACAGGTGTAAAAAAAAAAAAATATATTTCTACCAGGATTTTCTAAAAAAGAAACATTTAAAAAATAATATTATTTGTGAATAAGTCCTGAAAGTTTCATTAAAATCTGACAGTTTTATCTGATTTTTGCAAGAATTTCCAATTTAATGTGTGTTTGCACCTCAAAAAGACACTTAAATTTCCTGTACTAATTTATGGTCACTTGTTGATGAAAGAAAATCAAGATTTTTTAATCAAAATATTGAAGTTTCTAAAAAGGATTTAAAAAATTAGTTTAATAATAAAAAAAAATCTTTTAATTTTTCCTCTTATTAATAACAAAGATTTTGATGATAACATTTTGTTTTTATAAAGTTTTGGGAAATTTTTTGTGTATGCTCACTTTTAAGTGAATTTGGGGAGGTACCTATAAATTGATTTAACCGAATCTTTACCAATAGACATACAATTGTTGTATTAGTGACTCATCTTTCACTTTGATTTAATCTGTCTGACAGCAAAATCCTATAATCCAGATGATTTAGTCGAATTAATGGATAAAAAGAAAATAAGTCCTCTTGGGTGCAAAATACAGGAAGGAATCATAATATGGGGTGGTGGTGGCCAAAAATATCAGAAAATGTAAAACAGGGGTGAGGTTGATATTAACGAACAGACATAGTTTTAAAGAAACAAGAAAATTCAATGAACAGGGTTTTCAATAAAGGATAAAGTGGGGGGGGAATGATTAAAAATGTGTCTTTCTTCTCATAAATAACATGACCTTGATGAAATAAAACTAAAAATAAATGTCCATCAATGTCTATGTAGTGATATGTAAATGACTGTCTAGTTAGCATAGCTAAGGCAATGACTATACAAATTACCAAGCAGTAACAGTAGAATAGCTCTCGGTATACAACTACTGTCGGACTGATAAAATACAAATGAAATGCACTTATAATTTTTAAGATTATAGTCGACAACAATTTTCTATTTTTTAATTCATTTTACCCCTAGCAAGAGAATAAAGTGTTATATTTATTCCATGTTAATAGGAATATATGCTTGAAAAACAACGTGGATAAAATAAGTAATGGTTTATTGTAAAAAACCAGTACAATAAGAATAAAATTAACAGTTATGCACAAGGTCATCGCAAGTCAATCCAGTAGTGAGTGATACTATTGGAAGGTCGGTAGGTTTTGCATAAGTCTGAGTCGTACTCAACAGATCCCGTCTAGTATATTTACTAACCACCCCACGCGATCAGATGTGGCACAGGGCTGAATTTAATGTGGGGTATCCGAGACTGTAGGCTCAGCCAAAAAATCCCCATAGACCTCATATAAAACGGGGTCAGGTAGCTGTTTCCCAAAATGAGACTCTGCCCTTCAACATGGCCTTGTCTGGGGATCCTCTTTTGCCCAGAGGCAGAGAGTTTGACCAGCAGAAAAAGATTCCAGCTAGTATATTTGCCAACCGCCCCACGCGGTCGGATGTGGCACAAGGCTGAATTTAACGTGGGGTATCCGAGCCCGTAGGCTTTGGCAAAAATTCCCTGTAGAACCCACATAAATGGGATCGAGTTGGTCTACCTCCCCGAACGAGACTCTGCCCTTCAGCATAGCCTCGTCTGGGTTCCTCTCTGCCTTTAGGCAGAGAGTTCGACTGTATAGCTGAAAAGATTCCAGCTAGTCAGTATTTACTAGCCCCTCACGAGGGTAGATGTGGCACAAGGCCGAGTTTAACGTGGGTTATCCGAGCCTGTAGGCTCGGCAAAAAATCCCTGTAGTACTTGCATAAACATGATCGGGTTGGTCAACTTCCTTGAATGAGACTCTTCCCTTTGGCAGAGCCTCGTCTGGGTTCCTCTCTGCTCAGCGGCAGAGAGTTCGACCTGCAAGCTGAAAAAGATTTTGGCTAGTCTCTGTAGTCCGTTGACTTACTGATACTTATAGGCAATTACTACCTATAGTGTAGTCACTCATGAGGGTGACAGGTTATTCCTTTACATCATAAAACCACTATGACAAAAGGGTTTACTTAGAATGAAAGAAATTGAGAAAATGTAACAGAGGTGAAAGAAGAATAAAGAGAACAGGATTCAAAGTGTAGTGATTTGTAAGTCACTGACTAAATATCATAGCCAAGGTATAGACTATATAAATGCTGAAGTTTTATGGGTAGAGTAGGTATATGGGATAAATGACTATCACTGGACTGATAAAATATGAAGAAAACGCACTTAGGAATGTATAAAGTTTAGAATTATCAGGTCACCCCATAAGTTCTGTCCGAATTTTAACTTTTTGTAAAAATGTATGAAATTTAAAGAGTATTTTATAATGTCTAATGGAGCTGAACATTATTTTTATATTTAGATGCATTTAAACTGATCAAATTTTATTTCAGAGAACAATAAAATTAAATTTTGTTTGATTAAAACCCTGCTAACATGGAAGTACCCAAGAATCATTTGAGGCACATAATGCTTTATGAGTTCAAGAAAGGAAACTCAGCAGCTGAAGCATCTAGAAACATTCACTCAGTTTATGGAGAGGAATGTGTGAATGAAAGAACTTGCAGAAGATGGTTTGCAAATTTCAGAGGTGGAGATTTCACCCTTGAAGATGAAGATCGAACTGGACATCCAATTGAGTTTGATGAAAAGCTTCTTGAAGCAGTCCTTGAAGAAAATCCTGCTTTATCAGTTGAGGAATTGGCAGTGGTTCTCAGTTCAAACCATACAACTGTTCATCGTCATCTTCAACAACTTGGAAAAGTTCCTAAACTTGGAAAATGTGTGCCTCATGAATTGTCTGAAAACAACCTCAAATCCCGAGTTGACATCTGCGCTTCTCTCCATTCTCGCCAACTTGTTTCACCTTTTTTGGATAGACTTGTGACTGGCGATGAAAAATAGATCTTTTATCAAAATGTTAAGCGTCGTAGACAGTGGCTTGGTAAAGGGGAAGGACCCCAGCCACAACCGAGAAGGGAACTTCATGGGCAAAAGGTTCTTCTTTCAATTTGGTGGGATCACCAAGAATAATACACTTTGAATTCTTACCACCTAATGCAACAATTAATGCTCAAATATACTGTCAGCAATTAGAGCGTTTGGACCAAGCTTTGAGGAAAAAAAAGACCTGCTCTAATGAATCGAAAAGAGGTGATGTTTCATAAGGACAATGCGCAATCCCACATAGCAAGAATCACGTGACAAAAGATCGAAGAACTTGGTTGGGAGAAAATTCCTCATCCACCTTATTCTCCCGATCTTCCTCCTTCAGAATTTAATTTGTTTTGTAGCTTACAGAATCAAATGGAAGAAACAGCTTTTGTAACACAGGAAGAGGTTAAAACTGACATTTGTGAGTTCTTCGAATCAAAGCCCAAAACATTTTACAGTAATGGAATTAGTAAGCTTGTTAATAGATGGAAGGAAGTCATAGATAATCAGGGAAAATACATTGTTGATTGAATCCGTAATTAAATGTAACATTTGGTCACTTGTTTTCTTTATTCAAAATTCGAACAGAACTTATGGGATGACCTGATATGTAAATCAATAACACATAAAATTACTTTTTAAAATTCTATAAAATAAAATTGTAAAATATATTAAAATTACTCGTTTACTTTCTCTCTATAAAGTTCACAAGATCAATGAATTTATCATGTCTTGCAATTTATTATAGTGTTTTTTTTTCTTTGACACTTTTATTACAATTATTTTCATATTAAAAATCTGCACTAATTTCTTGAAGGTCTTTTAATGTTTTTTATTGTAGAATATTTATTTATTTCATCCTTAGATACACTGTTTCTGAACTGGTATGCCCAGGTGCACTAATGTGCCCTGAAAGTTAGCCAGGTGTGCCCCAAATTAACAAAAAAGTAATTTATGAATTACTGTATGTACTTGTGTATCATGTGACCTTTGAAGACCTAATTTTAAAGCTAATTTGACTACAGTAAATGGATATATAGTTTGGTCAATGGTGTAGCCAGAGCCAGCAGTACATATGCTAATTTTATATCTCTTTTATGATACAACTAATCATTTCACTCCTAGCAAGGGAATAAATCCACTAAGACAAAGGGGGTTACTTAGAATGAAGGAAATTGAGAAAATATAAACGAGGTGAAAGGACAATAAAGAGAACAGGATCATGTTTAGACGTAACAGAGTCTATATTTTTCAATTACTTTAAAGTACTTTCATTAAAAAAACATTTTGAATTAATACAGTTACTGATATAACAGAAGTAGTCTGTATTTATTCAATCAAAGTTAGCCGAGGACATGAAGGGGTAAAACAGGCAACATGAAGACCCACTTCCGACCACAATTATTTTTGAGTTTTTGAAATTCAATTTTTCAGTGTGCTACCAGGGATGTAAAAGATGATACATTTATAAAGCAATTGTTAAGTTTGATGAATATTGGTTGAAAGATCAATGAAAAATAAGAAAGAAACCAGTAAAAATCATCATTTTTCGCTATTTACACGGGTTTTCACTATATGGGTGGACTTAATTATCAAGTTAAATGACTGTTGATCAATCAGCTTATTGTTGGCTACAATTGAGTGAAGTTTGTATTAGGCTGCTTGAAAATTGAGGGAGTTTTTAGTTTAAAATTTGTGTTGAAATTGATTTTTCATTTTTTGCAGTTTTTTGCTAAATGCAGTGGCATAGAAATAAAAATGAAGTATCTTGAGCTCATCATGATATAAGTAAACTACATACTGAGTTTGAACAAAATCGGAATAATAAAAAAGTTGAATTTATCGATTTTTGATTGTCTTTATAAATTTTTTTAAAATTATCAATTTTTTACACTAAGAACCAATCTCTTACATTGTACAATGTATGTGCCAAGTTTGGTCAAAATCGGTTGGATGGATCTTGAGTGAAAAAGTATCACACAGAGAGACATAGATATCATCCTCTGTTTTATTATATATATATATATATATAGATGATGAAAGAAATGATTTTCCTGTGGTGGCTGACAAGATATTTCAGCAATGTAATTCATAAAAAAACGTGTCCTAATTGCTTAACTATTATGCTTATTATAAAATCAAATTTTTTCATTTTCTTTTGCAGTTACCAGAAAATCCATGAAGCCCATCCAAATTATGGAGGAGTAGACCAAAATTCAGTCCCTCCAATGCAAGGAGGACAACCACCAATACAGAGTGGATATCCAAGTGGACCACTTCCTCCAGGACAAGGAGCATACTCGGATCCGAGTAGATATGCAGCAGGAGCAACTCCACCAGTTCAAGGTGGTTATTCTGGAGAAGTACCATCACAAAGTCAATATCCACAACAAGGAGGATACACTGGAGGATCAGCACCTCAGCAACAAGGAGGATATGCTGGAGGACCAGTACCTCAGCCACAAGGAGGATATGCTGGAGGACCAGCACATCAGCCACAAGGAGGATATGCTGGAGGACCAGCACCCCAGCCACAAGGAGGATATGCTGGAGGACCAGCACCCCAGCCACAAGGAGGATATCCTGGAGGGCCAGCACCCCAGCCACAAGGAGGATATCCTGGAGGGCCAGCACCCCAGCCACAAGGAGGATACCCTGGAGGACCTCAGAGTGGATATTCCGGTGGGCCACCACAAGGGCCATACCCGCCACAGCAGGGATACCAAGGTGCACCACCGCCTATGCACGGTGGTCAGTATGGAGGGAATTCTTTAGCACAGGTTACAAATAGCAGTGCACCCCTTACTGCTCCTGCTGGCCCAAATGCTACTGGAACACCCTTATCTTTTCCCCAAGGATATAAGCGTAAGACTAATCTGTCTGTTCATATCAATTTATCTACCTCAGTTTATTCATGTCTATCAATCTAAGTGTATTCCTATGTATTTCAATTTATTCATATCTATCTCATTCTATTCATACCAATTTCAGTCTATTCATATTTATTAACCTCAGTCTGTATGTATCTATTTATCTTGGTCTATTTATATCTATTTATCTCGATCTATTTATATCTATCTATCTCAGTCTATTTATATCTATCTATCTATCTCGGTCTATTTATATCTATCTATCTATCTTGGTCTATTTATAGCTATGTATCTATCTATCTTGGTCTATTTATATCTATCGATCTATCTCAGTCTATTTATATCTATTGATCTTTCTATCTATCTTGGTCTATTTATATCTATCGATCTATCTCGGTCTATTTATATCTATTGATCTTTCTATCTATCTTGGTCTATTTATATCTATCGATCTATCTCGGTCTATTTATTTCTATTGATCTTTCTATCTATCTTGGTCTATCGATTATCTCTATTGATCTTTCTATCTATCTTGGTCTATTTATATCTCTCGATCTATCTCGGTCTATTTATATCTATTGATCTTTCTATCTATCTTGGTCTATTTATATCTATCGATCTATCTCGGTCTATTTATATCTATTGATCTTTCTATCTATCTTGGTCTTTATATCTATCGATCTATCTATTTATATCTATTGATCTTTCTATCTATCTTGGTCTATTTATATCTATCGATCTATCTCGGTCTATTTATATCTATTGATCTTTCTATCTATCTTGGTCTATTTATATCTATCGATCTATCTTCTATTTATATCTATTGATCTTTCTATCTATCTTGGTCTATTTATATCTATCGATCTATCTGTCTATTTATATCTATTGATCTTTCTATCTATCTTGGTCTATTTATATCTATCGATCTATCTCGGTCTATTTATATCTATTGATCTTTCTATCTATCTTGGTCTATTTATATCTATCGATCTATCTCGGTCTATTTATATCTATTGATCTTTCTATCTATCTTGGTCTATTTATATCTATCGATCTATCTCGGTCTATTTATATCTATTGATCTTTCTATCTATCTTGGTCTATTTATATCTATCGATCTATCTCGGTCTATTTATATCTATTGATCTTTCTATCTATCTTGGTCTATTTATATCTATCGATCTATCTCGGTCTATTTATATCTATTGATCTTTCTATCTATCTTGGTCTATTTATATCTATTGATCTTTCTATCTATCTCGGTCTATTTATATCTATCGATCTATCTCGGTCTATTTATATCTATCGATCTATCTCGGTCTATTTATATCTATCGATCTATCTCGGTCTATTTATATCTATTGATCTTTCTATCTATCTCGGTCTATTTATATCTATCGGTCTATTTATATCTATTGATCTTTCTATCTATCTCGGTCTATTTATATCTATCGATCTATCTCGGTCTATTTATATCTATTGATCTTTCTATCTATCTCGGTCTATTTATATCTATCGATCTATCTCGGTCTATTTATATCTATTGATCTTTCTATCTATCTCGGTCTATTTATATCTATTCTATCTCGGTCTATTTATATCTATTGATCTTTCTATCTATCTCGGGTCTATTTATATCTATCGTCTATCTTATATATTTATATCTATTGATCTTTCTATCTATCTATCTATGGTCTATCTTTTATATCTATTGATCTTTCTATCTATCTCTCTATTTATATCTATCGATCTATCTCGGTCTATTTATATCTATCGATCTATCTCTCTATTTATATCTATCTTCTCGGTCTATTTATATCTATTGATCTTTCTATCTATCTCGGTCTATTTATATCTATCGATCTATCTCGGTCTATTTATATCTATTGATCTTTCTATCTATCTCGGTCTATTTATATCTATCGATCTATCTCGGTCTATTTATATCTATTGATCTTTCTATCTATCTCGGTCTATTTATATCTTTCTATCTATCTCGGTCTATTTATATCTATTGATCTTTCTATCTATCTCGGTCTATTTATATCTATCTATATTGCTCTTTATATCTATCTCACTCTATTTATATCTATGTCAGTCTATTCATATCTATCTATGTCAGTCTATTCATATCTATCTATGTCTGTCTATTGATTCATATTTGTCTATCTTAGTCTATTCATATCTATTTATCTATCTCAGTCAATTCATATTTGTTTATTACAAAAATAAGTAAATAAAATTAAATAAACAAAAACAAATGAAATAAATCCAAACAAATAAATAAGTAAATCTGTTGCAATCTTTTTGTGTTATCTGTCCTTTCATATTTGTCTGTCTGTTTCCGTTCATATTTATCTGTCTGTTTCCATTCATATCTGTCTGTCTTTGCCTCCTTTCATATTTTGCTGTCTGTCTGTTTTTCTCTACCTCCATTCATATTTGTCTATGTGTCTCATATTATTCATATCTATCGATCTGTGCTTATCTGTCTGTTTTCATCTGTTAATTATCTTTCTGTATATCTCTGTGTTTCAGTTTGTTTCTCATAGTCTGCCTGTCCGTTAAAATCACTTTTTCAACTGTAGATCCATTATAAATGAGCTGAATAAAAATGGCCATGTGCCAGACTTTTACAAAAGAATTACATCTCTGCTTTCATGTACAGCTCCCCAGTTTGATGGCAATACCCCAGACGGAGAGATGCCTGTCCCAGATCAACCTCCACCTCAAATGAACCCTGTGGCTGGCTATGAAGGAGCTGGTTTCACTGCTGGGGGTAAGTTTTAATCATTCATTTGCTCATTGGCGTAAATTTACAAAAAATGTTTACGAATAAGAAACAAAACTGAATATTGTACATATATTAGCTCTACTCCTTATGGTATGCATTTATTCTTGACCAATGACAATACTTTTCCATTATATTTATAATGAATATACATAGTAAAATAATTTGCAAGACATTTTACATTAGATGTATATGAGGAGCATTTAGTTTATACGTATATGAAGGGCAATTTCTTTCCCTAACCAAAAAGGGAATGACCTTGTCTCATGAAATTAGCATCTGGATTTCCATGCAATCATCAAGTTCCTGACGCTGCAGAAAGAAACTCCAAAGGAAATCCAGTTGAAACATAGGGAGACAAGTGTCCATCCAACATAGGGAGACAAATGTCCCTCCAACATAGGGAGACAATTGTCCCTCCAACATAGGGAGACAATTGTCCATCCAACTTAGGGAGACAAGTATCCATCCCACTTAGGGAGACAAGTGTCCATTCAACATTAGGAGGCAAATGTCCATCAGACCTTGGCAGACATGTGTGCAGGGCCAGTGCAAGTGCCTTGTGCCCTTCCCAATCTATGATATCAATCTTCATTCTACCACATCTTAATTGTCAAAAGGTAGTGTAGGGGGAGTTAAAACTCTGAGGAAATAATTATAAATCCCCTGACATCTATATATACAAAAAATACTCATAAAAATAAGAAACAACAAAACAAGTATTATTTATTATCTGGAAAATTGTGAGTTTGGGGTCAAATGTAGATCAAATATGGATTGGAAGGATAAGATAAAGAATAAGTAAAGTGCATGCAGTCTTTCTTGTAAATTTTCTTTTTATAGATGTGTGTAATGAGTGTCATATTGGAAAATACAAGAAGTGTCTAGGGTTTTCTCACCTCAATTTTTTGTTGAGTTCTAAAAGATAAATATTAGTATTATGGCCTGAAATGGAAAAGGAGATGAAATTTTCGTTGATGCATGTGTTAATGACCTGTCTGTGTGAACTGCTTGTCTGATAGTGAGAATGTCATGTATTTGTGTGTGTATAGGAAAAAAGTGGGGTCGATTCTCATTGGTTTAGAATGAGTGAATTAATGATGATTATAATTGTTATAATTATTTTATTATAATTTTTTTTTTATACTATAATTCATTTTTATTTTTTTTGTGACCACAACAGTTGTATTAGTATATAATATAAATTTTATTGTAACCTAATTATGTACAATAATGAATTATATGCAACATAGGTAGACAATTCAAGTAGAAAAATTGAAAATAAATATAATGTATCTAAATACAAATTAGAGACATGTCATAATAGATCATTCTGAGAATACCATGGACTGAACATGTGGGCAATGATGAAGTTTTAGACAAAATGGAAATGAAGAGGACACTTATACTTAATATCAGAAAGATAGATTTTAAATTTCTAGGGTATATAGTGAGGAAAGTTGGTTTAGAAAATTTGATACTCACAAGACAGATTCAAGGTAAAAGTGACAGAGAAAAGCAATGCCTAACCTACTTATTGAGCTTAAATAAATGGATGGCAGAACAGGGTTTAGGAGAGATAACAAAGAGTTAAAATTTATTAAGAGCTACAAAGGGCAGGAAATTGTGGAGGTCCATGATTGCCATTGTTCTGAAGGGACATGGCATATTCAAGAAGATTCATGGTACATACTAGGCCCTTCTAGATTGAGGGTTGTCAGGTGTTTCAACAATTTTAGAAATGGAATATCTCATCAATTTTGTAAATATTATCAGGCCCAGGTCAGATTCCAGTAATTGCAGCCTAACCAGTGTTCACTCACTAGATTTCAGAGCACAATTGATATATGTCTGGTGATGTAATGGAATAACCTGGTACCCCCATGAATGATTACACTATAGGTAGTAAGTAACTGTCAACTGTCTATGAGAGACTTGAGGAAGAGTGAGAGAGAGAAGACGCAAGCATGTCTGACCTTCCAATTAGTGGCACTCACTACTAGATTGACCTGTGTGTATAACTGTACTGTATTTCATATTGTACTGGTTGTGTACAATAAACCTTTCTTCTAGTATCCACTTGGCGTTACTTATTTATTTCCTTAGCACGGAATATAACAGTTCCGACAAGAATTGTCAGGACATAACATCAAGATAAGGTGGCGCCATCAGCCACTACCTTTACATACTGCTATCCTAGGATTTTTGGCGCATCAATGTAAGAGACATTTTATTGTATTCAGCATTCCTTGGGAAATAAAATGACTTTTGCCAAATGTAATAACCCTGTTCTCTCAGTAATAATTGCATTAATTCCTAATTACAATCTCTTTCTTCCTCATTTGCTTTGCATTTCTATAAGAAAATCATTTACAATACAGTTCTTCATCCTGGGTATAATGACAAACTACGTTTAACAGCAAGGCCTCTGATCAGGAGGTTTTGAGGAATGTGAAACCACCTTTTAGTTGCTGGTTTTCCCATTTCCACTCTGACCCAGGGTGGTAGCACCTGTTAGGGTCACAGCTATGAGTAAATGGTTAAACCCCAAACTGGGGTCAAACACTATGTAAGTGTAAAAATAGGTTTTAATACCAGAAATACTTTGTAAAAAAAATTATTACCAGCAATACATTTTTGAAAAAAGGATATTACCAGCTATACATTTTTGAAGGAAAAATTTTACCAGAAATAAAAATTGTCGACATTAAATAACTCATTGAGGTTGATATGCTGCAAACCAAAGCAAACCAAACAATGCAGTTCTATGGTAAAATTGTTATGCATTTACAGTATAAATAATTTGGTCATACTTGCATTAATTCCTGAGTATAAACAATAATTTTATTTTCCTCATTTGCAATGGTTTTCTGTAGAAATAGAATTTAGAATGCATTTATTGAAGCAAAAGTCTCCAGCACCATCTATTGAACAATGTTAGGGAAATCTGAGAAGCATCATTGAAGTTTTGCTGTTTATTTTGCTTAAAAAGCCTTAAGGAAAAAAATTGAAGATAAGAAAATCAGTCCTACAAGAACTTATAAAAACAAACCAATGTGTGTAAAGTTTGGGTGAGAATCTGACAGAACAGTAAAGATATAAGATAGTTTCAGCTAAAATGATGTGGAATAAAGGGGAGCTGATAAGTACTCAGCCCAAACAACAAGCTTCTTAAAAAGAAGACCAATTTTTTAGATATATTTTGGGACATGGTTGGGTCAATGACTTTTCAGCATCCCAACTCATATTAATTCACCAGATTCTGGAGCACAATTCTTATAGATTGGTGCATTTCCATATTGTCAAGATACGATGGTGCCACCAACCATTAACTTTATAGACTACTAGCACATGACTTTTGGCACGTCTGTGTATATAATGTGAAAACAATTCTATCTGTTTTTGACTACTAACATTAAGTTATAAAACAAGTTAAAAAGAAAAATGAAAAAAAGAACTTACAGGATTAACATTATGAAGAACAACTGTTGGTAAAATATATGCTCCAAAGAATTCTTAGCTTCACCCACTTACCAAAATCTAAGCAAATGACTAAACATGAGAAATTTTCATAATCTCTTGCAGATTATAATGAGACTTTTCAGTACCCCTGTGTCTGTGCCATGCACAAATGTTTCAAACATTTTTATTAAAAAGTAAATAAATAAATGCTTTTCTACTCTAAATTCAATCTCTCGTTCACAAAATAAAGAGTTGCTGATAAGACCAAACAATAAAAGGAAACCAAATGTTTAGTCATTTAGTCATATTTTGGGAGATGGTTGGGCCAAGAACTTTTCAGTATCCCATTGTGTATATCATTATGATCAGTCTACTGTAGTTTTTCCAATAAAAATGTTAACCATTGCTCAAGTAATTACACTTACCAGCCAATATAGTCATGACAAAGTCCTTATAGTCAAATCATTCTCTCTTCCCTCAACAGCAACTTTTTGACATAATAGCCATTCAAAAATATATTGTCACACAGCGGGATACTTGAAATATATAAGTCAGTTTTTCTTCTCACAAATATATCAATATACACTGACATGCCAAAAGGCAGGAGATTGTACTTAGTATCATGTAGAACCTCTTCCATACCAGCAAAGTACAGCAATGCAACATGGTATCAGTTCTTCAAGTGGTCAATAATCTCTGAAGAGATGTTGAACTATGCCATCTTGATAGTTGCCAGTCTCTGATATTTTTAAACGCAAGATTTTGTATGCAAATAAACCTCTCCATGTCTTCATAAATTGCTGATTGGGTTCATATCAGACAAACATGGCCATCACACCATTTGTTGGAAGTTTTCAGAATGCCTTTCAAAACTATTCTAGATAACTTTGGCCCAATGACATGGTGCATGATCCATGCTTTCCAACCAATTTTAATCTGCAAAAATTTAAATGCAATGTCAATCACTATCAACTGTTCTTCTAATTACTTTTCTCTTTCTACTTATTATTATTGTTTTTGTCCCTAATTCCTCCATATCCTGTAACCCCTTGTATGCTAGTGACTATACCGCCCTGCTTGGGGTGATACTGATTAAAAAAAAAGAAAAGATGAATAAACACTAAAGTAAAATCCAATACTATAATTCCATGATGTCAAGATTAGGTGGAGCCACCAACCATTACCTTTACATACTGCACTGCCATGACTTTTGGCACGTCAGTGTATGGTCACTATAGTCTTATATATATCCAATTTTTTTGTATTGCAGATTTTTTACCTCCCCCTACACCATTTCAGAGTCCAGTTCCAAGTGCACCGGAGGAACAGAGAGGAGAGATTCCAGAGTAAGTTCCAAGGATTGAGAATGTTTCCTTGCTTATATTTTTCAGATTTTATGATAACATGTTCTAAGTGCAAGCAAACATCCATAATCTTTTTTTTTTATCATTTCACCCCAAGGAAGGTGACAATGCCACTAAAATGTGGGAGATGATGTAATGGAATAACCTGTCACCCCCATGAATGACTACACTATAGGTAGTAACTACCTATAAGTAACTGTAAGTCAACAGACTACAGAGACTAGCTGGAATCTGTTCCAGCTAAACAGTCAAACTCTCTGCCTCTGAGCAGAGAGGAACCCGGATGAGGCTCCACCAAAGGGCAGAGTCTCGTTTGGGGAGGTAGACTACCCTTGAACCCGTTTAAAAGGGAATATTTTTGGCTGAGCCTACGAGCTCGGACAACCCACGCTAAACCGGCCTTGTGCCACATGCAACTCTTGTGTGGGGGTAGCTTAATATACTAGCTGGAATCTTTTCAGCTATACAGTTGAACTCTCTGACTTCGGATAGAGAGGAACCCAGATGAGGCTATGCTGAAGGGCAGAGTCTCGTCTGGGGTGGTAGACCAACCCAACCCCATTTTTTACAAGGTCTACAGGGAATTTTTGCTGAAGCCTACAGGCTTGGATACCTCATGTTAAATTCGCCCTTGTGCCACATCTGACCAAGTGGGGTGGTTGGCAAATATACTAGCTGGGATCTGTTGAGTACAACTCAGACTGATGCGAGAACTACCAACGTTCCAATAGTAGCACTCACTACTAGATTGACTTGTGACAACCTTGTGCATAACTGTTACCTTTATTCTTATTGTACTGGTTTTTACAATAAACCTTTACTTATTCTATCCACCTTGTTTTTCAAGTATATATTCCTATTAACATGGAATATAACAGGAGGTTATAGGGAGTGAAAGTGAATGAGAATATTGAAAATGGCGGGGGAATGAGGGAGGGGCAAAAAAGAAAAAGGGTTCAAGAAGACAGAAGAAGGTGATTGACAATGCATTAAAATTTTTGAAGATTGTAGTTATCAGGGAAGCAAGAAATCAGAAGGGAGTTCCACAGGTGAGAAGTGCAAGAATAGTAACTGTTAGAATAAAAATGACAGTTGCATCTAGCTAGTAAAGCTAAAAACAGTAAGACCTAGTTGCCAATCTAGTAGTATGCTTAAATTTGTTCAGTTAAGGGACTGTTGAAGAAAGTTCATCGCAACAGTTGCCATGAAAATATTTGTAGAAAAGACAGAGGGAAGCCACAGGAGAAAGTGAATGAAGTTGAGATGGCTGGCCTTGAAATATGGCACTAGCTGTTTTACTTTTTTTAAAAAAATCATTTCACTCTAAGCAAGGCAATAAAGCCACTAAGATTCAAGAGGTTACTGAGTGTTATGGAATATGAGAAAAAGAAAACATTATTAAGGAGAGAGAACAATAAAAAAGAACAGGAATTAAGACAGAAGATAAGTTATTGCATTTAAATTTTTGAAGATCAAAGCTGACAGGAAAGCAAGAAGCTGGAAGCGAGTTTCACAAGCAAAAAGAGAGAAGAAACTGATAGTGTAAACCTCACAGTTACATCCAATCATTTCAATAGCAAAATGATGAGACCTAGCTGCCAATTCAGTACTGCATTTAAATTATTAAACTCTAGGTACCAAAGAGGAAAACTCATGAGAACAATTACCATGAAAATATTTATAGAAAAGCCCCATGAAAGCTGCGTTATGGTGGTGAGAAAATGACTAAATGCCAGGTCAAGACCAATAATATTACAGATTGTTCATTTTGTTATTTAGGATCTATGTAGTACTTAACTTCATTGGAATCAATCTTTTTTTAATTATTTTTTTAAGATCATTTCATGTCCAAGTAGTTACCATGAAAATATTTGTAGAAAAGACAAAATGCAGCAATAAATCTACCTAGAGTTGTCTTATTCTGTTACCAATGATTGCATTATTTCCTGACCACTGACAATCCCTTTCTTTCTCATATAACTGACTAAATCTTTATTTTTACTTTTGTTCTGCAGTGTTGCTAACTGGAAAGAGGAGGATGTGAAAACTGCTCTTCTGGATTACATTTCTGGAAAACGGTGCTATGGAAAAGGCACAGCAAACGACATGGTCATCAAAGAAATTCTTAACTCGTGTGGCTTTCATGTAAGTGAGACTGGAGTTCCTGAAATGGTTGATTCTGATTGTATAGTATTCCTGAAACGAAAGTTCCTGTAATTTTTAATTAGTAATCCGATTATCCCTGCATTAGTCACATGGAGTGTTTTGTTACTTCCAAAATCTTTAATGGACTCGTAATTCCAAGGTGGTAACTTGTTTCTTTTCTCCCTTGCACTGACTCATTGGGGGTGTGTAGCCACGTGGTGTGGCACAGTTGTAGCTCAGTTGTTGTGGGAGGCAGACACCAGAAGGCTATCAAATTTTTTAAATCAATGACGACTAATGCAGGGTTAAGGATTTGTACAAATTGAAAATCAATTGCTGAAGTAAAAATTATACAGCTATATTTCTCTTACTTATAAATCCCCAAATTCCCATAACTCTGGGTCAAGGTTCAGGTAGTCAAGAGAAAAATTACCTTGTATATACTTGTGTATAATCCTATCTCAATTGTACTGCAACCCTTAAATTTTCTGTGAGAAAGCCAATTTTTAGCTTGTGTATAATGTGTCCGCAGCTTCCGAGCAATACTAGTAGGCCTACTATAGTCAAATATTACAGTACTGGTCATCGTCCTGGACATATTTTATAGCAAATAAATGGTCTTCATTCTTTTTTGGACAAAGCTACCTCAAAATGGTAAGAAAAACCACTTACTGTAAAATATCTGATACAAAAATTTACATGTTGTACTTTTATTTTCATTCAAGCCTGACTACGGTAGCTCCTTTACTCTTGGCCTGTCTCCTACATAGCCTAAGTTTCTTCCCTTTTGTCACTGCATGAAAAGCAAAACCTCATCCATTATGTATGCTGCTTAAAATCAACAAATATCTTATATAAATGAAGAATTAATAGGTGTTTTTCTGATCTCAAATATGCGACGCAGGCAAAAGGAACTTATGGTTATTAAGGTTAGCTAAAGGTACCGTCAGAAAGCAGGTCTACTAGGTAGTTTACAGTCACTGAAAATGCATGAATTTTAACCCCCCTCCCCTGAAAAATTTATCTGTGTATAGTTCAATTGATCACTGAAAATAGATGATTTTTAATCTCTTCAAAAAAATTGTCTGAGTATTGTGTGACCACCCCAAAATTTGCATAAAAAACTGATCATAAAAACTTGCATTATACTTGAGTATATATGGTATTTATGTACAATCTGATCTTCCATATAATTCCATCTCAAACTTTTTTCTTTTTTTCATACCAAAGTTCACCCAAAACAAGGCTCGAGAGCCACTCAAATTAGTATTACTGATTGAGGCGTGTGAATGTAAAAGAACGTGGTAAGGAGTTAAACCGCATGAGAAAATGAATAGATAACAAATTACCTTTGAAAAGGTTAATGTCGTAGTGTTCAGGGACGTATACATGACAGTTGTCTAAGTGCAACCTCCTCCTTACAGCTGGAGTACAGAGGAAACGGGGATGATTTGGCTCGATCATCATAGCATGTGTCCTCTCAGTAAAGGTCTGAATTGATGGAACTAAAGAACAGAACTCATCTGAACATTTGCCATGGAAAGAGCAACAGAGTAATGGTAGACTTTTACTGTTACATTTGTGGGGAAGAGGTTGCAGAGGTGGTGGGTAACAAGTCATTCTCGGCAAGACCACGTAAACGATTTTGAACTCAAGGATGGAAAGTGTGGATTGAGCCGCTCCAGGCTAGACATTTTTTTTTTTAAGCAAATCACCCCAAGCAAGGCAAGAGTGCCGCTAGCACACAAAGGCTTACAGAGAGTAAGGGTAAAGAGGAGTGTTTGGGAAAAGGATAAAGAGAAGGACGGGGATCAAGATCAAGGCATCAGAAGATGCCAATTGACATTACATTTGAATATTTGAAGATTATAGCTATCAAGGAAGCAAGTAAGAGGAAAGGAGTTCCACTGACAGGTGCAAGATAAGAAGCTGTTGGAGTAGAAGAGATGGTTACATTTAGTCATTTCGACAATGAAAGGGTGAGACCAAGATGCCAACCATGCTTAAATTCATGCAATTTGGGAACTAGTGAAAGTAGCTTGTCGGAGCAGTTGCCATGAAAGTACTAGTAGAAAAGGCAGGGGGAAGCCACATCACATCTGTGTGATAGCGACTGTAGACAGGATGCCAGATCAGGACAAATCCATCTCTGGATTTTGTCAAGGACCTCAAGATGAACAGCGGGAGCACCAGACCATATATGACAGCAGTATACCATGCATGGATGAATGGTTGATTTGTAGATTTGAAGGATGGACTCAGGCGAGAAAAACCTTCTGGTGTGACACAGAGAACCAACTTTCCTTGCGGTAGATCAAACTATAGATTCAATGTAGTAGTTCTACTTTAGGTCAGTGGACATCGTGAGACCAAGCAGGCGCAGAGAGGTGCTCTCGTGGAGTTGGGCATCAACCATCCTGATGGGAGGCTGGGAACGTTCTCTTTGGTGGGTAACTGAGAGCAGTTTCATTTTAGAGGCATTAAAGTTTACAAGCTATTTCCTGCCCCAGTCAACCACAGATTGGAGGTCCTTGTTGAGGCCAACAGCCAGGTTATTTTTGTCAACTATGCCAGATCTACTATTAAGGCAGGAGTAAATAGTAGTGTTGTCAGAGTAGATGTCAACTTGGAAGTTGATGACATCAGGAAGATCGTTGATGAAGATCAGAAACAGTGTCGGACCCAGTATAGAGCCTTGGGGAAAACCAGCGTTCATGCGAAAGGAACTGGAGGAGAACCTGTTTAGAATATGGTAGCAGTCCTCCATTTTTGCTCTAACCTGACTTTTGTAAAAATAAAGCGTGACTGAAGTGGTTGAATGAGCTGACCATTTTCCCAGCATTTTTAGCGATGGATCATAAATACGAGTTCTCCTTGAGGTCTGGTGTTAACTTGAGCCCTGATAGGTGTTCAAAACACGGAACCCCACTGAAGTATTTGAAGTTTAAACAGAAAGATGGTCAGATGATATACTAATCAAAACTTTATCATGAAGTCAAAAAAGATGTTTCAAAAAGAAAGTTTCAAAGAATCCTTGTATAATAATAATGGAGGTACTGTCACGTTGCGTTGATCCAGATGATGATTGCACTATGGAAGAAATGTTCATTCTCACATTTGTATTTCCCCCATTATGGGCATTATTATATTCATGAGTTTATAGCACATCATTTCATTGAATTGAAATAATACAGACGAAAATGGAAAATTACACAAATTCTTCAACTGCTTATGCAGTGACAAATGCCATATCTGAATTCACATACAATTCAAATGATGGAATTACTTTTTCTGCTTATTTTATATGATACAAGCAAATTTTCAGAGATTAATGCAGCAACTGGGAAGACGAGAAAAAACTACACTTTTGTTGAGAAAATACTGTAATTTTGTACTACCGAAAAAAACAAGAGAAATTTGCTTTGAAGAAACAGTAAATGTTCTGATTAAAATTTTTAATGAAAAAAGTTTGTTATTCAATACTTGGAAGTCTGTGGATATTCCCCCCATTATAGGCATTATTATATTCATGATATAATAACACTGTTTTTCATGGATTAAATAGAATGGATGAAAGGAATGATAAACATACTTTGTTCTCAGGAAGAGTTTTATACTGTGAAGTCCTACTCAAATTTATATACATGTATTTACATTTGTCACATGCAGAGAAAATATAACACTTATTTACAAAACAAGCAGGAGAATGAAAAGATAGGGTCTAACAATATAGAGATTCTTCTGTGTTTCTTAAGAGAAGCCATATTAAGGATTTCAGATTTGAGCAGGCTGGATGTATCTGATATGTCCCTAGTGAGGACAGATTTCACAAATTGGAAACAGTGAGTCTTGATTTATTCCCAACATGAGAACTGCAAGCTGGAGATAGTTTCTTTCTGTATCTGGAGAAGATATACTTCCACAGGAAAATGGCGCCATAGGCTTGCAAGCTGCACCATGTGACTGAGAAGCCTGAGCTAAGAAATCAACTGCTCTGTTTGACTCCTGTAAGCTGACTGGTGACTGCTACTTTGTCACTATGCAACCGTCATGTGACTTAATTTCAACCACGGAAGATAATTGCCTTTTGCATCCCTACAATAATAACATTTTGTATTTGAAGTTCAAACAGAAAGACAGCCTGACAATACAACAATCTAAACATTATACAACTAAGGGAGATGAAGAAACTAGTTTAAAAGAAACAATGTATAACATATATAAGATCTTGTGTCAGAAGTTCAAATGGAAAGGTAGCTGGTGGTTAGATTACCCAAAACCATAATATAATGCTAACAAAGATGAAGTAACTGCTTGAAAAGAATGTGTCTCAGATATCTGGACAAAATCTGATAGAATTGCTGGGACTTGTGCAGAAACCTTAGAAAATGATCCACAATGAACAGATTTGTTATCAGGTTAGACGTAAGAAAAAAATTTGTTGTTTGATATGAATAAAATTACAGAAGAAAAAATGACAAAAGTCCTTTTATTACCCTAACTCTTTGTTCATAGACTGTCTTTTTTAATATATATAATATAAATCTAAAGAGCCAGGTAAACCTACCTAGATCTCACCTAAATGGATCATCAGGGTAAAACTAGACAGTTTTACCATGACAATCCATTTAGGTGAAACCTAGATAGGTTTGCCTGGCTCTTTAGGTTTATATTAGGTTTGCTCTACTTTGTGTATTGATCACTTTATACATAGTTGCCTTTACTCGTTTTGGAGGTTTTTTTCTTTGGACTTTGAGCTTGAACTCTGGACGATTGTTTTTGCCTCAATTGGGTACTGGTTTGTTCTACTACAAGCCGAAATACCCAAGGTTTTTCCAAGCGAGTACCACTATTTTTATATATATATATATATATATACTTATTACTTAAATGTTATTTTTAGTTGATACTGTTATTTGAGTAGATGCTCTGTTTATTTATTTTCATTTGCCGACCTGAATATTCAAGAAATCTTATTAGAAAAATCTGGCAAAAGTTCTCTGGCAAGATTTGAACCTGTGTTCTCCTAAGGGAAACTGTCATTAGATCTGATGTGCTTTGACTGCTCAGCTACAGAGAACCTATGTCCAAGCAAAGCCCAAATAGTGCTGTTAAAGGAAAAATCTAGAGTTCCTTTGTTTATGTTGGGATCTGAAACTGTTCTACTGGGCTTAGGGTGGAAAGATAAATTATATGAGACTTGCTGCTGGAAAGTCGAAGCAACACAAAAATGATACAAGATGTGGTAAACTCAACAACTATTTTATTTAAACTGCTGTTTGATCTGTTTGTTCCCAGAATTCCCTAGTGGGACCAGAAATGCTTACAGTCATCAGCAGCATAATCAACATTGTTGATGATGTTATAAACAGAAACTGAGAATCAAGAATCAGGGAAAAAATCTGTGTTCAAGAGAACTTTCTGGGCTTTGCGTGGCCATAGGTTGTCTGTAGCTGAGTGGTCAAAGCACATCAGATCTAATGACAGTTTTCCCTAGAGGAACATCAGTTTGAATCCTACTGGAGGACTGTTGTGGAGTAAATGTAAAAGTAACACAAATGAACTAGGCAAGATGCCTTAAATAAAGAACTCAAAGTGAGTCAGGAGAGTCCATTGGAATCAGTCGAAAAGAATGCTAGTGATGTCACTGTGAGTAACCTAAGCAAGACATAATATTGTAACCAATAGGAGGGAGTTATAACAATGGTGACAAGGGATCAGAACTCATACAGAGTAGGAAAAAGTACTTTTTGGTTCAGTGCACATGATAACAGTGACAGCAAGAAATTAGAACCATGCTGGTTTAATTTTTTTTCTTTGGTGTTTATAAAAATAGAAAGAAGTAAAAAAAAAAGATAAATATGGAAGAATTATTGGCCCAAGTGATAAAAATACAGCAACAACAACAACAACAGTTGTTGGAACTCCAGAAACAGCAATTACCAACGATACATATTTGAAAGAAAATTATTACCAGAAAAAGAATTTTTGAAGGAAAAATTTTACCAGAAATAGAATTTTTAAAGGAAAAATATTACCAGAAATAGATTTAAAAAAAATATATTATCAACAATAAAAATTTTGTCGGCATTAAACAACCCATTGAAGTTGATATGCCGTAAAACCAAACCAAACCAAATCAAATCCAGAAACAACAAAATTTAATTGAAATAATACAAAAGAAAATGGAAAATTCCCCAAGTTCTTTCACTCCCAAACCCAGTGGCAAAATGCCAATTGAATTCACATGCAATTCAGATAATGGAATTATTTTTTTGCTTATTTTAGAAGATACGCGTAAATTTTCAGAGAAGAATGCATCAACTGGTAGGACGAGAAAAAAACAAGACGTTTGTTAAGAAAGTGAGCACCGATAGAATATAAAAAATACTGTAATTTTGTACTATTGAAAAAAACAGGAGAAATTTAAAACCAAAACATAGTGTAACCTTTGCAGCGTTGGATCAAATCAATGAAGAATTAGACAGACTTGAAAAAATAAATGTAATTGAAAAGATTAATCATTCAAAATGAGCAGCACCAGTAAAAAAAGTAATAAAATTTGTTTTTGCGCTGATTAAACAAATGTTTAGAATCCCATAACTACCCATTACCAAGTCCAGAGGAAATTTTTGCGAATTTAAACGGTGGGAAAATTTCAAAGCTGGATCTTTCTGAAGTGTATTTTCAAATACAAGTTGAAGAAGAATATTCAGAGTTAATAACTATAAATACACACAATGGATTGTATAAGTTCAACCAACTTCTTTTTAGGACAAAAGTGGCTCCAGCTATATTTCAACAAACTATGGATACGATACTTGCAGATTGTGATTTGTAGTTGCTTATCTGGGTGATATATTAATTAAAAGTGTATGTAAGGAACAATATATTAGCAATTTGAAAAGAGTTTTTGAAAAAAAATATGAGAATACAGGTTCAAAATTAGTGAGGAAAAGTGCAAATTGTTTTTGTCTAGAATCAAGTACCTAGGACAAATCATTGACAAAAATCGTCATCAACCAGATCTGTTGAGGACAAGTGCAATTAAAAATATACCTTCTCCGACAAATGTTACAAGGTTACAAGAATTTCTAGAACTAGCAAACTATTATCAAATGTATATACTTAAAAATGCAGAATTTGAGAGCTCAACTGAATAATTTGCTTAAAAAAAGGCGTAAAGTGGAACTGGACTGATAAGTGTCAGAAGGTGATGGAGAAATCAAGAAAATTCTTATGTTAGACTTGTTAGTGCACTACGATCCAAAAGCAGAAATCATTTTGGTTTCAGACGCTAGTGATTATAGCATAGGAGCAGTAATTTTATATAAATATGATGATGGTTACATGAAAGCTGTTGCACATGCTTTGCATTCACTAGCACTGGCAGAAAAAACTACGGCCAAATCAAGAAGAGGCGTTAGCAATAATATTTATAGTGAAAAAATTTAACAAATTTTTACACAGGAGTTTTCATTTACAGACAGATCACAGACCTCTATTATCAATTTATGGCTTGAAAAAATGAATTCCTACACGTACAGTGAATAGATTACAATTCTGGGGTACCATCTTATTAAATTATGATTTTAGAATGGAATACCAACCATCCAAATAATTAGGATATGCTGATGGTTTATCAAGGTTTATACCAAAAAATACTGAACCATTTGAGGACACTGTTATTGCAGCATTAAAAAGTGAAATAGAAATTAAACATATATTATGCAATGTAGTACTGGAAGAAATAAAAGTAAAAGCAGAACAAGACATGTTTATTTTGAAAAATAAAAAATGGCTAAAAGAAATACGATACGGTAGTAGTCCACAGCAGACTGGGACCCTGGCAACTACCACAATTTTGTTGAGGACATTGACGGTGGCGTGGACCGTACACATCACCATGTCGATGTCGGCGGGAGACGGAGACTGGTCGGCGGCATCCGTCTCACAATCGTGGCTGAGTTGTTGTGCGTGCGACCGATACGGTCTAAAAGAAAAATGGCTAAAAGAAAGTAAGAAAGACAATTTTTAGAACACAATCCAGACTTGAACACTTACTTGCATTGTGATGGAGTACTGATGTTTTCACAAAGAATAGTAATATCTAGCATAATACAAAAGTGGATACTTAAATGAATTTCATAGTGGATATCCAGGAATTTCAAGGATGAAATCTCTTATATGAATCTATGTATATTGAACCAAGATGGATCAAGACATTGAAAAATTAGTAAAAGCCTGCAGAGGTTGCGCTCTGGCAGCAAAAAATCACCTACCATGAATTTACAATCTTGGGAAAAAGACAGTTACTCTTTGGTCAAGACTGCACATAGATTTTGCAGGTCCAATAAATGGATCACATTATCTTGTGGTAGTGGATAGCTTTACTAAGTCAAAAAAGAAAAGATAACGAAAAGGACACAAATTTTTTTTTCAAAATTGTTGAAATATTGTTTTTCAGAGTATATAAAAATGGAATACACATTGTGGGAAGACAGCATAATAAGAACACAAATTGGAAAAATGATTTATATGATAAAAGGAAAAAAATGGGAATACAAAATGGCATTGGAATCAGTTAAAGAAAAGGTTTACTGAAGAAAGACTCACAAGAAAGGAAGAACCTATACAAGTACTGTATGATATTTTTGACATTCCAACACCCCAAGAATTCGCTGAATGTAAAAGTATAATTGCCAGAAAAAAGGGAATCTTTGGTAAAACTGAGATGGCACAGTGGAATAATAGATAGCGGTTCGGATTGAGAAATCAGAGAATTTTGTAAAATGTTCTCAATTGAACATATTACTACCCTGCCATATCACCCAAGGTCAAACGATCAAGTTGAATGGTTTGTGGGTAATTTTAAGAGAGCTTTGAAAAAAGCAAGTCATGAAAAAGTGAGTGAATAAGCACTACAGAAATTCTTGGGGGTATATCGGATAACACCAAATCCCAATACACTGAGAGGCAACACCCCAAGAATTCATTGAATGTACAAGTATGATTACTAGAAAAAGGAAACATATGAAAAACTAGAGGCAGACCTAAAACAAAAGAAATACAAAGTTCAGTACGTGGTGAACAGGCCAGAAAGAGGAGGGAGTGAATACTAAGAAACAAAATATTAACAAATGAAAAAAAAACAAAACATCTCAAAAGTGGAGATATTGTAGAGTAAATAAAACACCCCTAGCAACACAAATGAACTAGGCAAGATGCCATAAATAAAGAACTCAAAGTGAGTCAGAAGATTCCATTGGAGTCAGATATTCACTAATTGCCCCATGTGGCACAAGGCCGAGTTTATTGTGAGATATCCAAGCCTGTATGATCAGCCAAAAATTCCTGCAGACCTTGTAAAAACAGGGTCAGACTCTGCTCTTCGACATAGCCTCATCTAGGGATACTCTCTGCCGTGACCAGCACACTTCCGAAGTAATTCAGAGAGTGATCAAATCAGTCGGAAAGAATTCTAGTAATATCACAAAGAGTAAACTAAGCAAGACATAATATTATAACTGCTAGGAGTGAGTTATAACAAGAATACATATTTTTCTAATAAGATTTCTTGATTATTCAGGCCGAAAGATGAAAATAAATAAATATACTGTTTAATAAATTAATAGCATTTATTCAAATATGTGTATCCAGTAAAAATAACATTTAAGTAATAAAAATGTCAGATTAATAAATGAAAAATCCAATTCCAAAATATGTATGTATGTGTATATATGTATAAGAATTAATGGTTGTATTAATATTTGATTTTAGTACAAGCTGGAGACATTTACAGAAGGGCGACAAGTGAGCTGGGAACACGAACCATACAACAGTTAGTAAAATTATATTCTAAAGTTTTAGATTTATGGCTGTAAGCCATTGTTTTTTTTCTTGTAATAATATTCACCCTACACAGACCTAAGAGCCACTCAAGGTAGAGGATTAATGAATGCAGTTGTTGTAAGGGCATAAGGAAGCAAGACTTCAAAATTATGATGGTATGTAGGACAGGTAATGGTTGACCCTAGATTTCAAGAGGTTATGATTGCAGTAATTGGGGAAGTATTCTTCTGGTGGTCTGTCCCAAAATACAAAGGAAAATGCAGTCTGAATGCAACTTCTTCCTCACTAGTGGGAAAAGTATGAATCCTTTTATTCTTCCCCCCAGCTATGGGTAAAATAGAAGGACAGACTGAATTCTGTAGCCTTGGGTTGCAACCAGTCTAGGAGAAAGTAACTCTGAATTCAAAACTGTATGTAGCCCTGGTGTAACACGTACTATGCAGCTAAAGAAAGGATCATTTGCATTGGCTCTATGAGCCTGACTACAGTCGATTTTAAAAAAAAAAAGTAGGGATACAAAAGGAATGAGAATGAAATAACACTGTGTATATGGCCTGGCAGGACTTAGCTGTGATGGTCTGGATTGGTGGAACTAAGGAATAGAGTTTGCTTGAACATCTGCCTGGAAAATAGCCATATTTCGTCTGTTGAAAAGCGGTTGTAGTTTTCTGGTAAATAATTCTTCCCTCAGAATGCATGCAAATGATTTTGAACTGTTAGAGTTAGAAACGAAGAAAAGAGTACTGAACTGTTACATGATATTTGTCCTCCTAAATGGCAGCAAAAATGAAGAAGAGACTTGAAGCAACAGAAATGTGGTTCAACAGAAAGATGCTGAGGATACCGTGGACCGATGAAAATGAGATGTGTTATTTTCATTTTAGCATCATTTAGACGACAATTTATCCATCGCATCCTGTATATCAAAATGAGATGTCAGTGTTATTTTCATTTTTGTGTCATTTAGACAACAATTTATCCATCGCATCCTGTATATCTGTTAAAATGCCAGTGTTAAATTCTGCAACATTTAGACGACAATTTATCCATCGCACCCTGTATATCAGGAAATGAAATGTCTGTTATTTTTATTCTTTGTGTCATTTAGACGACAATTTATCCATCGCACCCTGTAGGTATATGAATGTAAATATAAATATGCTTTTCTCTTTCCTTTTGTCAGTAACATTGTTTTCTATATAAATATATAAAAATCCTCCATCTTTTGAATTCAAATAGAAACGAAACAAACACTTATACTCAGAATCAAAAAGAGAACTGAAATTTCAAGGGCACATAATGAGGAAACAGGGCTTGGAAAATTTGATACTCACAGGACGGATTTACAGCAAGCGGGATAGAGGAGATCAATGCATAACCTACTTAGTGAGCTTGAATGAAATGGATGGCAGAAAAAGTTTAGGAGAAATGACAAGTGAAAATTTATTAAGAGCTTAAAAGAGCAGGAAATAATAGAGAGCCATGATCGCCTACATCCTGAACGGACATGGCATGTAGAAGAAGAGGAATGAGCTTGTGTAAATGGATGGTGGAACAAGGTTTAGGAGAAATAGCAAAAAGACAAAATTTATTAAGAGCTACAAAGGACAGGAAATTGTGGAGGGCCATGATCGCTTACATCCTGAACGGACACGACATGTAGGAGAAGAGGAATGAGCTTGTGTAAATGGATGGTGGAACAAGGTTTAGGAGAAATAACAAAAAGACAAAATTTATTAAGAGCTACAAAGGACAGGAAATTGTGGAGGGCCATGATCACTTACATCCTGAACGGACACGACATGTAGAAGAAGAGGAATGAGCTTGTGTAAATGGATGGTGGAACAAGGTTTGGGAGAAATAATAAAAAGAAAAAAAATTATTAAGCTACAAAGGATAGGAAATTGTGGAGAGCCATGACCATCCACGTTCTGAAGGGACACAACACATAAAAGAAGGGAATGAGCTTGTGTAAATGAATTGTGGAACAAGGTTTAAGAGAAATAACAAAAAAACAAAATTTATCAAGAGCTACAAGGGATGGGAAATTGTGGAGAGCCATGATCGCCTACATCCTGAAGGGACATGACATGTAGAAGAAGTGGAATGAGCTTGTGTAAATGGATGGTGGAATAGGTTTTAGGAGAAATAACAAAAAGCCAAAATTTATTAATAGCTACAAAGGACTGGAAATTGTGGAGAGCCATGATCATCCATGTCCTGAAGGGACATGGAACATAGAAGGATATGAAGGTTGGAAAGTGAGGATTAAGCAAATTCAATGTGATTATAACCATAAACTCTAAATTTATTCCACTATTTATCATTTTATCTCCACTTGTTGGTTTACCAAAATGCATTCCATGTAATAGATTTACTAGAGTATATATTTTTATCATTGCTACTATGAAAATATGTAATCAGTTTAAAAGAATAAATTTTCTTTTCTTGTTTCAGTGGGGATGTCTGTTGATGGACCTGAGATGGGTGTGCCTCCTCCGCCATGGGAAATTCCTGTTCAAGTGCCGGAATATTTTAAGAAAGAAAGTCTAAAAGTAGAAGTACCCCATACTGCTTATGTTAAGGTGAGTGGCACCATTTCTTCAAGGTGCCTTGGCATGGGGTAGTTGACTATTACTACTGATTATTGAGTTTGATCCTCACTAGGTGCCCCGTAAAAAAATTCAACATTAAATAACCCAACAAGGATTGACATGTAAAATCAACCAGCCTAACTCAGTGTTGGGTAGTGGTTAATGATTCTAGTCTTGTTGGCCATTACTTCTTAGTGAGTTTAATCCTTACTGGGTGCCCGATACAAAACCCAACGTTAAATAACCCAGCAAGGGTTAAAATGTAAAATCAACCAATCTAACTGAATGTAGGGTAATGGTTAACAAGGCTAGTCTGGTTGACCATTACTACTGAATAGTAATTTTGATCCTCACTGGGTGGCCTGATACAAAAATTTAACATTAAATAATCCTGCAAGGGTTGATGTGGTAAAATCAACCACTCTAGCTCAGGGATGGGTAATGGTTAATGAGGCTAGTCTAGTTGACCATTATTACTGAGTAGTGAGTTTGATCCTCACTGGGTGCCCCATACCAAAATTCGACATTAAATAACCCAACAAGGTTATGGTGGGGGTAACTTGGCATGGGGTAATGGCTAGCAAAGCTAGTCTGGTTAACCATTGCTACTGAATCGTGAGTTTAGTCCACACTGGATGGCCCATATAAAAAAAATTAAATATTAATTAACCCAACAAGACTTGACATTACATAAAATTAGCCAACCTAACCTATTCATTGATGAGGTTGATTTAGAAGTTTCTAGCATTTTTGTGACAATGTTTTTTTTTTTTCCCCAAAGCAAGGTGATAAAGCCACTAAGATGCAAGGGAGTTATTGAGAGTGAAATCATCTTAGAAAAAAACATTAAGAAGAGAGAAGAAATAAAGAACAGAAGGTGAAAACATTGCATTTGAATCTTTGAAGACCAAAATTGACTGAAAAGTGAGAAGCTGGAAGAGAAAGTTTCACAATTGAGAAGTGCAATATTTACATTATTTGGACTAATATCCTCATCTTTGTTGCCATATTTATCACAACGTTTCAGCCGTTATACACTCTGGCCTTCTTCAGGTGGTTGGAATGTCAAAGTGAACTCTTTATTTCGCTCATTGGGCTAGACTGTTCTATGTTCCATGTGCCATGTCTAATGGATGTCAGTTATCAGTTATCTCCTGTTAATTTCCCTCTCCAAGTTCTCCACCGCCTTAACCATGTATTGAACTCACTCTCTTTAGGTCCTGTCACTGGATCTAACTAACGCCTTTATCCACTGCGCCATGTGTCCTTGAGAACACAAAAATGCTAGAAACTTCTAAAAAAGGTCTCAGAAATATAGACTGATACTGAGAATTTATGGTTAGCATAGAATTTATGATTACATCTATCAATTTCAACTGTAAAATGATGAGACCTAGCTGCCAATCTAGTGCTGCACTTAAATTTGTAAAGTTGAGGTACCAAAGAGCAAAAGCTCATCAAAACAATTACAACAAAGTTGTTTATAGAAAAGGCAGAGTGAAACTATGTTATGGTGATGGGGAAGTGACTGAAGCTGAGATGCCAGATCAGGACTGATAACATTGCAAATTCTTTTTGGGATTTTATCAATAATCTCTAAATATATAGAAGCATCAGATGTGGCAGCAATATTCAAATGTATGGATGCATGTTAAAACTATAAAGGTGTACAATAAATTCTGTTAGAAAAATTGTAGGCAGTTGGTTTACTGTGTTGTACCTGAGTATGACACAGTGGACCAACTTTCCTAGAAGCAGACCTAGCAATTGATACATAGAAATTCACTAAATCATTATTTATCAAAGTATTTTCCATGGATTTAATGAATTTTATGCTACCTTTCAGCTTTCTTATGTTTAAAATATGGAACATTCTCATTACATTTTAGTAGCAAATTGCACATGGAAGCTACACATCAAAGTGACTATTATAACCAATATGATGTAAATCATTTTCAGTGTTTGATTTTAGTTTTTAGTATGTTGGCAATTTCTTGTGTCATATAACTGATTATTCTGAAGGAATGTTTTGATTTGATTCACCTCATCTGGTCTATTTAGTGTAGAAATCTGCAGTAAAAACTCAGCAAACCACTTTTTACATGTTTGATAATTCACAGTACCTTATTCATAAACTGCACAAATCTTTTTTTGCATTTGAATTACATTTTTACCTTTCTTAAAATAAAAAAATTAAACCAAAAATGTTGACTATTTTCTTCCAGCTTTAATATTAAAATCAAACATTTTAAAAATTTAACAAAATTAAATTTGATTTTTTTATGTTTTTTTTTGTTGAAGTGAAAAACTAAACATTCCTAATGCAATGTAACAAAAAGAAATCTAGAATGGGATAAACTTTTGGGGTTACTTATGATCTTATATTTTTTTGTCTTTTGTCACAGCCTTGTCATAAGTGCTGTGCTCAAGGTTTTGTTCCATGTCGTGAGTGCTGGAGTCGGGGACAGGTAAGTGTCCATTTTGAAATTGTTCTTATCTTGGCCAGTATTTTCATGGTAATGACTTACATTTGCATCACATGGGAGTAGCTTGATGATGAAGAAAAAAAACAATCTGTTGTAACTGTTTGCTTGAAAACCTAGATACCTGCTCCTAGGGTTGCTGGCACCCCAGGCAGGCTGAACCCTGGTGCCTTCACAAGTATAAATTTTTAAAATTTTCACAAAAAGAAAAACAAGTTTATTACAATATAGAACTGAATACAAGCTAAAGAAAACATACATTATTCATAGTCAAGAGTTCACATCCATTAATATCATTATTCTCTTGCTACCATAACTTATTCTCTTAACCTTGACATGATACTTTGAGTTTAATTTTATCTGGCAGATATTTTAGTTTATTTAAAATTCTTCATATGTTATTGAAACTTTGTAACTGTTTAAATCTCTCTGATAAAGAATTAATAGCTCTGTTGATAATAATTTAATATTTTTTTTTTTTTTTATTTTATTTTATTTAATTTATTATTTTGACATTTTTTACCTTTTTGTTTGGAAGATCCGAAATATGACATGTTGCTACAAACTTGATGTCACCAAACCAAAAAATTTGCATATCCTGTTCCTATAATTTTTTCACCACTTAGTGGAGTGAACATTCTTTTTCTCGTAATCTCCAATTTCTGGCTCCCCTTGTGTGAATAGGAACTTTCTTTCATGCTTAAATTTTTCCATAATCTCATATACAGGGTCAGCTCTAGAGTTGCTGGCACCCCTGAGCAAGCTAAACTCCAGCACCTTTACAAGTATAATTTTAAAAAATTTTCACATGGAGAAAAACTGTAAATGTAAAATCCCAAGTTTCTTGCAGTATACAACTTAATACAAGCTAAAGAAAATATTCCTTATCCTCCCTAAAATATTTTTTCTAGTCTTTAGATCAGCAAATCTTTTCATGGCACTTTCTATACCTATTTTTTTTTTTACAAAATCATTTTCTGTTGACAAAATAACAAAAGTTTTTATAATCTGTCTTGAGTCATGGAAGGCCACAAGTATGTCTTTATAAATTTTAATTTACTAAAGCTTCTTTCTCTGATGGCCACAGTAATGGCTATAGTAAGCATTATTCTTAATACAGCCCACAGATTTCACACAACATCCTGTAACTTATTAGTGTTTATAAACCTAATGAATTCTATTGGAAGCTTTACATTTTCAGGAAATAATTCTTTTGCAATATTCAGTTCAATCAAGAGTTCACATCCATTAATATCATTATTCTCTTGCTACCTTAACTTATTCTCTTAACCTTGACATCCTACCTTGAGTTTATTTTTATCTTGCAGATATTTTAGCTTATCTAGGTTCAAGCTGCCCGCTCAAGAATATTACATAAACACTGGTTAATATGTAAAATGCAAATTAACACAAATTGCATTTGTAAATATTTTATATAATTCAAAGGCCACTAAAACATCATTAATTGTGGCAAATAAACTTAACAGATATTCAAAGTCTTATAGATAAAAATGATCATTATTCTCATATTGCCTGCTCATTCATTTTTTTTTGTTCTGGTGTTTAATCATCACACCATAGCAGAAAGAAAGAAGGTAATTAAATTCTCAAAAATTTTACTATGCTCAAGAAATTTGATATTTTTGTTTTTTTTATTTCATTTTATTTATTATTTTCACATTTTTTCCTTTTTGTTTGGAATATTCCAAATGCATGACTTGAGGCATAATGGTGCCCTCGGCCTTGATGTTTTCTCAGGTGACTGCCCAGGGCCCTGAGGACTGTTTAAGTTGCCAGTAACTTGAGCTGGCCCCATTGACTGCCTGAGTTGCCAGTACCTTGAGCCGGCCCCAATGACTGCCTGAGTTGCCAGTAAATTGAGCCGGCCTTGAGGACTGCCCGAGTTGCCAGTACCTTTAGCTGGCCCAATGACTGCCCAAATTACCAGTAACTTGAGCCAGCCCCAATGACTGCCCGAGTTACCAGTAACTTGAGCCGGCCCCAATGACTGCCCGAGTTGCCAGTAACTTGAGCCGGCCCCGAGGACTGCCCGAGTTGCCAGCAAATTGAGCTGGCCCTGATGACTGAGTTGCCAGTAACTTGAGCTGGCCCAAGGACTGCCTGAGTTACCAGTAACTTGAGTCGGCCCCGAGGACTGCCTGAGTTGCCAGTAACTTGAGCTGGCCCCGAGGACTGCCTGAGTTGCCAGTAACTTGAGCTGGCCCTGAGGACTGCCCGAGTTGCCAGTAACTTGAACCAGCCCCGAGGACTGCCCGAGTTGCCAGTAACTTGAACCAGCCCCGAGGACTGCCCGAGTTGCCAGTAACTTGACCTGGCCCTGAGGACTGCCCGTGTTGCCAGTACCTTGAGCCGGCCCCGAGGACTGCCCGAGTTGCCAGTACCTTGTAGCGATGGATAAATTGTCATCTAAATTATGCAAAAATGAAAATAACACTAGTGAAGATAATTGCCCCTAAAAGTAAAATCTAATTTAATCTTTGTTTTTATGTCATTTATTGCTTTTTTTTAAGTTAAACTTTTTAAAATCATTACCATTTTTTTGCAGTCTGACCAAAAAGTGAACATTGATTTCTGATGAGTTTATTCTTTTTTTTTCTTGTATCAGCGAAGGTGTTCATGGTGCCATGGTGATGGTTTAAGACATGAATCTACAGATCCCGATGAATGCAACTGGTGTCATGGAAGTGGACATCGAATGTAAGTTGGAAACAGTCATCAATCATCAGTGATCAGCATGAATAGGACAGGATATAAGGGGTTAAGCTGAAGTAGACTTTATGCCCACAAAAAATCTTTGTATCTCTCTCTCTCTCTTATGTATATATATTAGGCACCTCCACAAAATCGCTAAAAACATCAGCATACCATGATGAAAGCATGTTTCAAATGTAATGAAAACAGTGTGTGGTGTGGTTTCTCTTATCTGCTAAAGTTTTTTTTTTTAACCATTATGGTAATAGCAATAGTAGGTGTTTCATTATAAGGAAACATTTGGCATTCATTGACTGAGCAGCCAGTACTACTGTCAGTTGAAATTTATAAAATCTTTCTATTAAAACAATTTTTCAGGAAAGTAAGTTAATCAAGCCCAATGCTAATGTACAAAAATTATTCCCATAGAAATTTTTTCCTATTTTTAAAAGTGGACCAGTCTATGTCATGCCATAAATTGGTCGTAATATAAGCCTTGATATATGTGGAGAGAGTGCTGAAGAGTGCAATATGCATTTAGAACAATGTCCAATCCATTTTACTGAAATTCCTGCAACAGGAAGGCATCATGCTGTCCAATCCTTAATAATGTTTTTGCTTTTTATATTCTTTCACACTCGGTAACCCACTGCATCTTAGTGACTTTGTTGCCTTGCTTGGGGTTAAATGATTAAAAAAACAATACCTGTGCTATTAAAAATGCTTTGCAAGATGTTCAGCAACTTCTTCAGCTGGCACGATTGCTAGAGGTGTCCTATATTGAAATTTGTGGGTTGGCTATACCTCAGGGAACTACTTTGAAGAAGATGGTGGAAACTAAGTGTTGAGATGTTGTGAGTTTCCCGCATGTCGGTGTATGAATCAAGACAAACACAGTTGTAGAGGAAAATACTGGTATATTCATAAAAGCAATTAACAATAGAGTGATTAGTAGAACGAAGGTTGGTTAGTACGAAACAATATCCAAAGTCTATAGTCCAACGGTATGTACTGGGTAAGCTTATCTGGACTGCTAAGATATTTAGCCACCCCCCCACGAGGGCGTCATGCGGCACAAGGCCTTTTTAATGTGGGCATTCCGAGCCATTAGGTCGGCAAAAATAGCCCATTTGAACCCAGTATAAACGGGTTCAGGGTCGGTTTAACCTCCTCTTGGGAGACTCCAAGCCCTTCGGGCGTAGCCTCCTTCGGGTTCCCTCGCCTCCAGGGAAGAGAGTTGAACCGATCAGTCGCTCAGAAAGTATCTGGGCTGCTAACGCTGACTCTCTCCCCAGAGCTGACTTAAATAAGAGGGACCAATCCATTACTAGTTAGAAGGTGGGTGCGCCCCAACACTAAGTGTTTGGGGAAGAATTATCAAATTCTGTCAAATTCTGCATCACTCTTTATCCAATGATTTTTCACATTTTTGTATTTTCTTTTACAGTTGCCAGAAATGCGATGGTCGTGGGATGGTTATTTGCTCAGATTGTAAAGGCGAAGGAAGTCTGAAGTTTTTCTTGGAACTTAAAGTTAAATGGTAAGGCATCAAGTTTTTTCCTTTGGCTTCGTTTTTTTTTATATATTTCATTGTAAATTTTCAAAATTTGGCTTTTTTTATTCAGTTTTCTTCCGTAAAAATGGTTGGTATCACTTCAGTATGTACCTGACTCCTCCTGTTATCCTTTTTACAAGATCCAAATCAGGCCAAAAATGGAGCACTGCTACTATATACGGGCAGGAGCTACTCAGTCATCATTTTCCAGTCTTGATAGTGTCCAAAAGTGTCTTCGCGTCTTTGCAGGTGACAAATTATTTTCCACCTCGCAACCACTTTCCCACAGACAAAAAGTCGCAAGCTTCTTGTTGGTCTATCGCTATTTCAATGGAAAGTATTCAGATGAACTACATTCCTTAGTTCCATCAGTTCTAAAGTTCACAGCTAATACCTGCCATGCCATTGTAGTGAACCACCCGTTTCTATTCCCTTCATAATCAATTGATGAAATGTCAGTTTCATTTGAGCAGCTTCTTCCTATCAAGAAACAGAAATGGAGATGTATCAGCCACACACTTCGCAAGCCTGCTTCTAGTGTCACCAGGCAGGGCCTTGATTGGAATCGACAAGAGAAGTCATCTCCAATGACCAACTGTGGGACAGGACCAGACAAGCCCCAATCAAGATTGACATCAAGAAACAGAAATGGGGATGTATCAGCCACACACTTCGCAAGCCTGCTTCTAGTGTCACCAGGCAGGCACTTGACTGGAATCGACAAGAGAAGTCATCTCCAATGACCAACTGTGGGACAGGACCAGACAAGCCCCAATCAAGATTGACATCAAGAAACAGAAATGGGGATGTATCAGCCACACACTTCAGAAAGCTGCTTTCTAGTGTCACCAGGCAGGCACTTGACTGAATCGACAAGGGAAGTCATCTCCAATGACCAACTGTGGGACAGGACCAGACAAGCCCCAATCAAGATTGACATCAAGAAACAGAAATGGGGATGTATCAGCCACACACTCTGCAAGCCTGCTTTTAGTGTCACCAGGCAGGGCCTTGATTGGAATCGACAAGAGAAGTCATCTCCAATGACCAACTGTGGGACAGGACCAGACAAGCCCCAATCAAGATTAACATCAAGAAACAGAAATGGGGATGTATCAGCCACATACTCTGCAAGCCTGCTTCTAGTGTCACCAGGCAGGCACTTGACTGGAATCGACAAGGGAAGTCATCTCCAATGACCAACTGTGGGACAGGACCAGACAAGCCCCAATCAAGATTGACATCAAGAAACAGAAATGGGGATGTATCAGCCACACACTCCACAAGCCTGCTTCTAGTGTCACCAGGCAGGCACTTGACTGGAATCGACAAGGGAAGTCATCTCCAATGACCAACTGTGGGACAGGACCAGACAAGCCCCAATCAAGATTGACATCAAGAAACAGAAATGGGGATGTATCAGCCACACACTTCGCAAGCCTGCTTCTAGTGTCACCAGGCAGGCACTTGACTGAATCGACAAGGAAGTCATCTCCAATGACCAACTGTGGACAGGACCAGACAAGCCCCAATCAAGATTGACATCAAGAAACAGAAATGGGGATGTATCAGCCACACACCCCGAAGCCTGCTTCTAGTGTCACCAGGCAGGCACTTGACTGGAATCGACAAGGGAAGTCATCTCCAATGACCAACTGTGGGACAGGACCAGACAAGCCCCAATCAAGATTGACATCAAGAAACAGAAATGGGGATGTATCAGCCACACACTCCGAAGCCTGCTTCTAGTGTCACCAGGCAGGCACTTGACTGAATCGACAAGGGAAGTCATCCCAATGACCAACTGTGGGACAGGACCAGACAAGCCCCAATCAAAATTGACATCAAGAAACAGAAATGGGGATGTATCAGCCACACACTTCGCAAGCCTGCTTCTAGTGTCACCAGGCAGGCACTTGACTGGAATCGACAAGGGAAGTCATCTCCAATGACCAACTGTGGGACAGGACCAGACAAGCCCCAATCAAAATTGACATCAAGAAAAAGAAATGGTGATATATCAGCCATATACTCCGCAAGCCTGCTTCTAGTGTCACCAGGCAGGCCCTTGACTGGAATCCACAAGGGAAGTGAAAAGTGGGTCGACCTAAACAGACTTAGTACAGAATTGTTGATGCAGAAGTGAAGGCAGCTGGCATGAGATGGGTCGAGCTGAAAATGATTGCCTAGAACTGTGTGTGGCCCTATGTTCCCCAAGGAATCAAGAGGTGTAAAGAGAAAGCTTCTTCCTATGAACCATTGCTTTCTGGAAATGACTCCCAAGAGGATACTTTCCTGATCACTGCAATTTTAACCTGTTCAAGTTTCAAATCAACTGTTATCTTCGCACAAATCCCCATAAACTGTTCTTCTTACTCTGTAACTCTCTAGCTCGAGTGGCTCTTGGGCTTTGTACAGAGTCATTGTTGTCAAAAAAAGAAGTTGTTGTTTATTTTTGTTTTTTTTTATATGTGGTATCACCCCATGCAAGGCAGTAAAGCAACTAAGACACAATGGGTTTCAGAGTGTGGAAGAATTAGGAACAGAAACATTAATAATGAGCGGGAAGAGAAAAGAGTAATCAGGAGGACAGTAGATAGCAATTGACATTGCATTTAAATTTTTGCAAGGCAATAGAGCCACTAAAATATAAGGGGTTACAGGGTGTGGAAGAATTAGGAACAGAAATATTAATAGGAAGAGGAAAGAGTAATTACACAGACATGGCAGAATTGAATAAACGCTCACAGAAACCGTCTATTTTATTAAACAAGTAATTTATACAAATGAAGTAATTATAAATGGTCATAAATTTAATAACTAATACTTGGTTGACATCCCTTTGCTTTTTTTTTAATGCAAGGACCCTTCTAGGCATGCTAGCGATGAGTTCCCGAATATCATCTTGAGGGATTTCTTGCCATGTTTGATGCAATAATCCTAAAAGTTCAGGCTTAGAAGATGGCTTCCTGTTCTTTTTGCAGTGTTTTCAATCGAATATGCCCCAAAGGTGTTCAATAGGGTTAATATCCGGGGACTGACTTGGCTATGGAAGTTTATTGATCCCATTTTGTCTCAACCAATGTTGCGTTGCTTGAGCAGTGTGACATGGAGCTCCATCTTCCATAAACAGGGAGTCAATTTTGCTCATTCTACTACTTAAGAATATTGGAAGGAGCCCTTTCTTTAATATAGAAACATATTTGGTTGAATTAATGTTTCCTTCACACTCTACAAGCTCTGAGCGACCATCACTCCAAATTGCATACCATACCATTAATGAAAAGCCCCCATGTTTTACTGTTGGCTGCAGTCTTTTTAAATCAAACTCTTGACTACAGAGTCTCCATACCCATACTCTTCCACTGACGGAAAATAATGCGAATGTTGACTCATCAGGGAAAATGACAGTGGTCCAAAAGGTCACAGGTCTCTCCACCATCTCATGAGCCCAATCCTTTCTGTGTTTGATATTGGCTGGGCAGAGGAATGGTTTCCTTCTTGCAGCTCTGTCATAGTAGCCCAGCTTGTGAAGATACCTGACAGCTGTTCTGGGACTGACATCAACTTGTGTTGCTATGTCAGAGGCCTTGCAATGTGGATCCTGTTCAACATTTCTTTTGACAAGACGCATGGTTCTTTCAGAGAGCCCAGGGCAGCCTGGATGAGGTTTTGTGCACTTCTTGCCCTCTCTGGTGAATTGTACGATCACTCTATTAACAATAGAAAGGGGTATTGAAAGATTTTCAGATATTTTTCTTTGACTAAGACCACCTTCATGTTGGCCCACGATACGTCCTCGCTGAAATTCGGATACGTCTGATGCTCCTTTGGTTCATGGCATGTTCCAGTATTGTTATCTGCAATTTTAATCAAATAATCTAAGTTAATTTATCTTGGTTGAAATAAAATTTATCTTAGTGTCTATTCAATTCTGTCATGTCTGTGTAGGAGTACAGTAGATAGTGATTGACATTGCATTTAAATTTTTGCAGATTAAAGTTGGCTGGAAAGTATGGAACCAGCAGGGAGTTCCACAAGCGAGAAGTGTGAGAAAAGAAACTTTTAGTATAGGACTTACAGCTACATCTAGCCAGTTCAGCTGTAAATTGATGAGATCTTGATGCAGTCTAGTACTGTGCTTAAATTCATAAAGTCTAGGTACCACAGTGAAGAGCTCATCTGAACAATTATCATGAAAGTATTTATAGAAAAGGCACAGGGAGGTAACCTTACGGCAATGGGAAAGTGACTGAAGCTGAGCTACCAGATCATGACCGATAATATTACTGATTCTTTGAATTTTATCATGAATCTCTCTATATATAGCAGGGGTACCAGACCATATGTGGTAATAATATTCTAAGCATGGATGAATGGTAGACTTATAGATATGTAAGATAGATTCTGGAATGAAAAATTGTCTAGCATGGCACAGGGAACCAACTTTCTTAGCAGCTGACCTAGCAATGGTTTCAATATAGTCTTTCCACTTCATATCAGCTGAGAATGGGGCACCTCGGCATGGTGTAATGGTTAGTGAGGTGGTCTTGCTAGATCAGTTATGACTAAAAAGTGAGTTTGATCCTCACTAGGTGCTCCATACTTTCGGCCTTGTGGCACATCTAAGCTATGCTTAGAAAATTACCATATCAGCTGAGAATGTTACCCTGAGATGCAACATGTCACTTTGCTTTGGGTCAGCATCTTTGTTCTTTTAAGAATTTAAAAAATTAAGTTCATATTTAAATTTCATTTCATATCTAATTTTATATGTATTAAATTTCATATGTATTTAATTTTTGAATATTTGATTTAAATTTAAGCTAAAATTTAAATTTTACTTTTAGAATTTAAACTTCCAAACTTTTTGTACTCTACTTGACTTGAAGGGCTCAAGACAAAATTGTTGAAGGATACACACACAGGGGTATATGAGTAACACTTTTTTCTTATATTTGGAAATGGGGCCCAATTTGCTGCTCCAGGCTTAATATGCCAAGCCTGTACCATAGACAACATGTGCCTAACCTAATTCTATAATGCTGCAATATTAAATGCAAATAAGGCAGTTTTATGTGTGAATTTGAGGCAGTTGATAGGTTAATGTTTAATCAGACACTATAGACTATCAAGACTTGTATCTACTCTAACTCCATAATATAATGTGTTCTGGGTATGACGATAAACTATGTCCAACAGCAAGGCCTCTGTTCAGGAGGTTTTGAGGAGCATGGAACCACCTCTTAATTGCTGGTGTTCCCAGGTCCACTCTGACTTGGGGTGGTTGCACCTGTTAGGGTCCAAGCTATGGGCAAATAGTTAACCCCCCAAAAGGGGTCAAAACACTATGAGAGTGTAAAAGCAGGTTTTAATACCAGAAATACTTTGTAAAAAAAATATTACCAGCAATACATTTTTTGAAAAAAAGATATTACCAGTGATACATTTCGAAGAAAAAATATTACCAGAAAGAGATTTTTGAAGGAAAAAAATATTACCAGAAGTAGATTTTCGAAAAAAAAAAATATTACTAGCAATAAAAATTTTGTTGGCATTAAATAACCCATTGAGGTTGATATGCTGCAAACCAAGCCAAACCAAACCAAACCAATCCTAACAGAGCAGTCGTTGAGCAGCCGAGACGCAGTGTTACCTGATCGTTCAGACGTACACTTTCTATCTGCTTATTACTAACACTCTTGCTTTGTATATATCTGTTATTACAATAAACTTGTTCAACCGACCTTCGTCTTCTATGTCTTTCTTTTCTGGACCCTAAACAGGCCACATCATTAAAAAGGGAGAAAAATATATTATCAACAATAAAAATTTTGTCGGCATTAAATAACCCATTGAGGTTGATATGCTGTAAAACAAACCAAGCCAAAGTCATAATTTACTATAGCATAGTGGCTGGCCACTCATATCCAAGGATTCCCATCTACTGAAGTGGCTAGCTAGTACTCATTGCACGTTTGTGTTTGTTCAAACACCCACAGAGCCCACCTATGGTTTATGCGGAAACTACATTGAGCTGACCTTAGAGTTTTTGGGAGAGAGCGTACTATCTAGCAAGATCAAAAGTCTGAATAAGGCCAGCACGCTCAAACCCTCAGTCACAATGACTTGTGATTTTGTGCTAGTGCAAACACAGATGGCTCCCCAAGGGTTCCGTCTATTCATTTTCACTTACAATGCTTGGGTCGATCTGTGGTATGGTTTTCAGGCACTTTCCAAAAGTGCTGCATGCTGGGATTGCCTCCACAGACTGATAATATCAAGAAGTCACATTCCAAATTGACCATGATGAGATTCGAACCCAGGTCTCTTGGTTAGAAAACAAATGTTCTAATGTTCACATGTACATAACTCCATAATACTGTAATATTAAATGTAAATAGAGAAGTCTTGTATATTGGTATATGGTAGTCTAAAAATAGACATGTAAAACCAGACTGACATAGAAGTAAGTATACCATGTGACCCTTCTCAATCAATGGGAACATGTCAAAAATTATTGAATTTCAGGCCTATATAAGAACGGACCATAAGCACGCACACCAGACCATTCACAGTGACATAGTAATTACAAGTTCAATCCCTGGGTCAAGCAATTCATAAATTGGACTGATGGGGGAATGGTGCAAGCAATAACTGAGCAGTATTGAAAATAAGAACCAGACGAGATATCCCTAGACATAGGCAGCAGAAGGAGAGGAATCTATCCAACGGACCAAAAGTGTGCACATCAGATCATTCACAGCAAGAACATGCAGGAGTGCACACCAAATGATTCATAGCAAGCACACACAGGAGCGAACACAATAGCGTGCAGAAGTGGGGCAGAGGGTGCGACGGCCCCGGGCATTCACTTTGGGAGGGCATCCAATCAGAAATTTAATTTGAAATCAGCGGACAAAATTACATATAATACAACACGTATCATTCCTGATTAAAAATAGTTGTTGAGCAGTGTAATTTATCATATAAGGTATTTGTATTGTAAGGGAGATAACTCCAAATATATTCGATTTTAATTATAGAGTAGTTTCCCCTTATTTATTTGCCAATAATCTAACGATTTCTGTATGTTTATCATAAAACAGCAAAAATGGTACATCACAGCGAGATTTTTTTTTAGTGCAATCCCACCGAAATGCTCTTAGAAAATTAAGCAATTTCCAGTTAAATTTGCAAGTGGATAGTGTGAAGCTTGCATTTTTCTCACTTGCCTCGAATGAACCGATTTCTAAAGGGAGATTACTTATAGAATAATTGTTATATTAAGTCATTTAAAAGACAAGGACAAATAAGATTAAAGAGAAAGGATGAAAACGACGACTTCTATGTACTTTATCCCTTCAAAATGTGGTCGATTATGTGTCTCCACAACCTTCCATCCCGTGTAGCTCTTAGCAATTTTCGTTTGTTTACCATCTCTTCCACTTCCTATTTTGCCACCCATTCATGTAATCTGATATGTAACCTGCTGCCAACACTGATTCACTAGGATATTGTTCCATGGTTTGTAAATTTAATGACATAGTACTTACGAGTTCAATCCCTGGGCGAAGCAGTTCATGAATTGGACTGATGGGGGAATGGTGCAAGCAATAACTGAGCAGTACTAAAAATAAGAACCAGATGAGATATCCCTAGACATGGGCAGCAGAACGAGAAGAATCTATCCCTATAGATTAAATAAAAGATCCTGTTCAAAATTCCCTCTTGGTTATTGAGATCAACATGCACCTGATGAAGGCTGGAGAGCACAAAGGCCGAAACATTGTGAAAACAACAACAAAGATGAATACAATAGTCCACAAAGTAAGTAACGTAAATAATGATAACACCTTATCCTAGAAATTCTGACAGAAATGAATAATGTCTAAACAACAAAACTACCTCCTTTAAGTAAATATCATAAAGGAAACATGTAAGTTAGGTAAAGGAGTAGATGAAAACAGATTTCTCAGCAGTAATTTTTAGTGATGTATTTAGAGCTACATTGGTTGAACCTGATGGTTGAGATACAGGTTGTGTCTTTCATGGAAACAGTCAACCAACATGAATTAGAAGACAATAGTCAGAAGATATTGTAATGTTTAATGCTAGCATTGTCGTCATTGACAAAACAAGTATTGGGATATTCATTGACATTTCCCTCTGTGAAATGAGTCCTATGTTGGATCTGAAGAGACGTTCACAGCCACTACATGGTATAGTAGGATGTTTCAAGGAATGGTTAGCTCTGGCTTTTCTTTGGGCTCTCTTTGTCTCTTCTCTTTGTCTTCTGATGCTTTCAAAGGATGTTGTTTTTTTGTGGACTGTTCTTCTCCAATTAGTTCTTTTGGCAGCTTCCCTCTCCCAATTGACCGGATTGATTTCTGTTCTCAGCAAGCCAATCCTTGAATCAAGAAGAGAAGAGGATTTTTGGGGGTTGACAGATATCTGGCATTCAGGTCCAGCCCATGGAAATCGGTAGCGAGTCGTGATGGTTTCATCAATTTTCATAAGGCCATACTTATCAGAACTCATTGCCAAGTATTGGGGTGCTCATGAACATTTCATTGTGAAATGAGTCCTATGAGACATCTGTAGCAAATGCATGGTAAGGCAGGAGGGTTCAAGGGATGGAGAGCTCTGGCTTTTCTTTGGTCATTTTTCCTTTCTACTATTTGTGTTCTGTTTTTTTTTTTTTTGTGTGGATTGCTCTTCTCCAATTGGTTCTTTCTGTAGCTTCCATCTTCCAATTGACTGGATTGATTTCTGTCCTCAGCCAGGTGTTTTTGAGATGATCCTTGAATTGATGCTGTGGAGCTCCACATGGTCTCTTGCCAGATTTTTGGGGGTAGGCAGAGGCCTGGTATTTGGGCATGGTGTCCGGCCCATTGAAATCAGTCACGAGTCATTATGATTTCTGGGTTTGTCATTTTTGTGTGGAGGAGAACTTTGTTGTTTGTGATTTGGTCCTGCCACATGTTCCATGGGATTTGACAAAGTTTAATTTGATGGAAAATTTCAAGTTTGTGGATGTCTCTTCGGTAGAGTTAAGCATATCTCACAGGCATATAGGGGAGATGAGGTTATAATTTCTTTTTAAATTTTCTAAATTTTAAGAGGTGGGATCAGTTTGCTATGTAAAGTGATCCAAATTGATCCCATTACACAAGCAAATTCATTGTAAATTGCTTCACTATTTCTTGGAGAGAAATTGATCTGTTTATTGATTCTATATTTAAATTGACTCCCTATTTCTTGATCCTCTTACACAAACTCCTTGTAAATTGATCCCCTATTTCTTGGAGAAAAATTGATCTGTTTATTGATTTCTTATTTAAATTGACCTCCTGTTTCTTGATCCCCCTACACAAAATCCTTGTAAATTGATCCCCTATTTCTTGGAGAGAACTTGATCTGTTTATTGATTCCCTATTTAAATTGACTCCCTATTTGTACACAAGTAAATACTCTGTAAATTGATCTTTTTATTTATAAATATGAATTGCATATTTCATAATAAAACATGGCAATTCCCAAACAAATTATTAGCAAAATTTTCAATAAGAATTTATTATAACTTGAGCCTTAGATTTTATGTTGCTTTTATAAATATAAGTATTACCCAGAAATTTTACCAACCTCAGTTGTTTAATATTAATTTTATTGTGAAAACTTAATAAAATCTGATATTGAATATTGATCAGGGACTTATTACATATTTGTGACATGGTTTTGAGGATTGATCTGTGACTTCCTATATATTTGGAACTGAAAACTTGATTAAAAACTTTTTTGATTTTCTTACAATGATTCATTTTAGGAAAACCCATAGTGAAGATTTTATCAAAGAGGACACACCTCTCCCTGATGAGTTGGTTAAAGATGTGTCTGGGTTGATTGCCTTCCAGGAAACTAACATGATGGTAAGTCCAGTCAAAATTTGGCAAAATTTTATAAAAAAAAAAAAACAAATAAAAAAAAAAGAACTCCCAAAAGCATGTTTTTTCTATTGATACTGGCATATTACTGTATACACTGTCAACAATTTTTACTGTTTTTTAAATGTTGCTTAATATTTTAATAAACCCCAGACAAATGAAGCCGGATTTATGCTTATTTTTATCAAGAATTGAAAACAAAAACATGAAACCCTATTTATTTATTTGTTAGATTGTTTATTTACAAGAAGAATTTTATATTTACAAGATTACAAAAATATGTTGATGAACTATAATGCAATATTTATTATCTATCATATTATAAAGATCTATGAAAAGAAAATTTTAAGAATAAGAAATTTAAATACACCTATGACAAGAAGTAACTTTAATTGTAAATTTTGAAAAAATTAATTTTAAAGGCATTTCTTTCATTTGCCCTCATCACATAAATTCCGTAAAATAGATTGTGAGCAGATCACTGCTGAACCAAATATTCTTTTAATTGGGTTTTATTAAAATTCTAAAAATAACTTTTTTAAAGCAATAAAAATTGCCAAGAGACTTTACAGTAATAGTGGTGAAAAGAGAAAAGCTTTATTTTGCCACAGCATTTTTTTTGCATTTTGTTAAACTTTGTCCAAAATTACGTTTCTCTAAGGAGAATAAACTTATATTTTTAAAATTTTTGTTACAACCTGAAGTACTTGCATTACAGTGTAGGGATACAAAAGGCGATTATCTCCCTTTGTCCTTTGCTGGCGATAAGTCACATGTGTCACAGTGACAAAAATGGCAGTCAAAGTCAGTTGGTTTACAGCAGCCAAACTGAAAGTGTTTTTTTCCTGGGGCCCCCATGGCCTGGGTAGAGGCTAAATCTGCCTCCCCAGCAGCTTACAAGTCCATAGTTCCATTTGCCTTTGGAAATATATCTTTCCAAGATATAGAATGAAACTTCAACTCATAGTCCTCAATTTAGGAAAACTCCAGACTTGCTGTTTCCAATTTGTGGAATATGTCCTCACCTGGGACATAGATGAATCTGGCTCATTTGAATCTGTAGTCCTAGACATGGCTTCTCAAGACACATGAGTATCTCCATATTATATGTAAAACCCTTCTTTTTTTCTCATTACACTCTGCTTTGCTGTGTAGATATATGTATATTACACTTATATATATCTATATATAGTTTTGGGTATGTCTTAGTAGCATAAAAGTCTCTCTGAGAACAAAGCATGTCTGTCATACCTTTTCTTTTCAGCCATTCTGTTCTGTCCATGAAGTACAGTGTTATATATCATGAATATAATAATGCCCATAATGGGGAAAATACAAATGGGAGAATGAACCTTTTCTACCATAGCTCTTTCCTGTTATAAGAGATTTATCTGTTTGCCCCCTCAAATAGAATATGAGATGATGGTAATGGTAATATATTAGCAGTTTCCTCATAAGGAAACATTCAGCATTCATTGACTGAGCAGCCAGTACTGCTGTTGATTAATTTATAAAATCTTACTCTTCAGGAAAATAGATTTCTCAAGTTCAGTAGCTGTTATCACTTTTTCCAGTATTGATGGGAGCTTTCTTCCTAACTTTTTATTTGAGGAAGTGTGCAACATCAACATCTTGATTATATCATTATTTTCTTGAGGAGTTAAATGTAATATCTATTTTAGCTTCTGCTACTATTATAAATGCATATGGTTGCATGAGAGAACAAAGGAAAAAACAAAGTATCACCACTGAGTAAGAAAGAAAATGAAACAAGTGTAGTTAAGATAAAATTCTTTGTGTTGCTGATATAGAGGATCAAGGTGGAATGCTTCTTTGTGGGCAAGGGAAGTGACCTGGAGGATTAGGAGAGTCAGTAGGGCCAGGACTTGATGATTGTATCAAGTTGGTTGATAGAGGTCACTAGAGATGATGGTGACAACCTGCCTGCTGACTGACTGATTCAGTTTTGTGAGAGTTGGGAGTTATTAGAGATAATAATGACTTCTAATAGTCTATTATAAAAACAAGATAAATTTTTGTTGTGTTAGATATATAAGATATATTTTTCTTTGTATGACGCACATGTATATATGTATATATAGTTTTGTGTATATCTTAGTGTTATAAAAGTATCTCTGAGAACAAAGCATGTTTGTCATTCTTTTTCCTTTCAGCCATTCTGTTCGGTCTATGAAGTACAGTGTTATTATATCACAGATATAATAATGCCCATAATGGGGGAATTGTAAACGGGAGAATAAATCATCCTTCCATAGCTCTCTCCTGTTACAACAGGAAGTAAATTATACCAAAAAAGATTTAAAAAGTTAAAATATTATGTTTATTTTCAAATGAATAACAGTCTTACCTTGTTGGACCTAAATTCTCTAACGCAGAACAGAAGAACATCCACAACTCATATGAGAAAAACAGACCTTAATTTCAGCCAGCTTTGCACACCAATTTCTAGAATGTCCTATAAAGATACTAGGCATTGAAAACATTTTTCAGAGCAATCAGAAAAAGGCCCATGTGTTTTTCAAAGAAGGCATTTCTGAATCACTGACTGGCAATGCTGATTTCCCCTATGTAGGTAGATCTGACTAGACTGGCATGCATGATGGACCCCTATTACATGGGAGACTATGCAACTGCAAAGGTCATTGGCAGTGACGTTAAGGTGCTTCCATCAACAGTGACATCTTTGGCCAGTGATGAAACCAGTAACAGCAGAAACTCTTGACTACTAGAATATAATAATTTATGGAATATCTCATTTGACTACATGTGCAAGTTGATTTTCTCCCACAAATCTATCTTAAATCACTACATGTGTGTTGATTTTCTCCACATGTGTTGATTCCAATCTATTAGGAATGATTACTTATTATTCAAAAGATGAACAATTGTGACACAAGGCTGAGTGGGAAGTGGGAAGAAGCTGGTCAACCTTATCTATCTTAGACCTAGTTAATCAGATTCACGACCCATACATTACAATTTGCTCATTCATCACAAGAACTCATCTGTCACCATTCAATCCAACATATACTACAATACCACATATTCACAGGAGTTCTACAAAACCTGAATGACATAAAGTTTTCTTAATGTACAATTATCCTTTTGTTGTAGTTTCACAGTGGAGGGTTGTATTTCACTAAGTCGGTCCTAAAAAGGTTTGACGTACAAAACGTTAGGAACTTGTTATAATAGTTAATGACAGCAATCTAGTTGTGGTGGTTGATACTTTAATGTCTGACATCGACTGACTCACCAACTCACTGAGCTCCTTTGCAACTGCTACTACTCCTACTTATAGGTGGGAGAGTCTGTTAACAATAGAATAGGTATGTTCCAGTATAACACCTTTTTTGGAGGTTTTTATCAATTTTTAAGAAAATTATATAAAAATGTTTTTTTTTTTCTAGCCAACAAAATAGGCCAGTTCTCGGTTTCATCTGACTCAGTCCCAGTCTGTCTTGTCTTGAAGTTGGAATGCTATATTTGTTTATCCAAACTTGCTCTTGTGTGTCTACCCCAATACTTAGCTTATTAACTTTTTGCTTTGTTACTGTTAATTTGCCTTGCATATATTGTTTGCTTGCTTTATATTATTTTTTTGCTCTTCTCTTTTTTCTTTTTCTTGTTATTGCTTATTGCAAATTTTGTCAATTCTTTGTTGGGCAGTTCTGGTACTTATTTTGAATTTAACAATGGATACTCACTCTACAACATGTTTGTCTCAATTACTACCTTAGGTTAGACCCTGAACAAACTCTGTTTCCTACAGCCGAAATACAAATAGCAAATGATTGAACCTTGTAAATGACAAGGAAATAAAACTCTTACACTTATCCCAACCACGTCTTATCTCCATGTGTTTTTTTATCACTCCTGCTTTTTTGTTTTGTTAACTGTAGGGCAGCCATTGCATAACTAACTATGAATTAGTTAATTTTTAATGCAACGTTTATTGATTTTTTTTAAAATTATTTTTTCACCCCGTCAAGACTGTAATGCCACTAAAACACAACTGGTTACAGGGTGTGGAAGAATTAGGAACAGAAACATTAATGATGAGTGGGAAGAGAAAAGAGTAATCAGGAGGACAATAGATAGCGATTGGCGTTGTATTTAAATTTTTGCAAGGCAATAGAGCTACTAAAATACAAGGGGTTACAGGGTTTGGAAGAATTAGGAACAGAAACATTAATAATGAGCAGAAGGAGAAGAGAGTAATCAGGATGACAGTAGATAGCGATTGACATTGCATTTAAATTTCTGGAGATTAAAGTTGACTGGAAAGCATGAAGCTGGAAGAATGTTCCACAGGCGAGAAGTGCAAGGAAACTGTTAGCATAGAATTTATGGCCACATCTAGCCAGCTCAATTGTAAATTGATGAGATCTCAACATCAATCTAGTACTATACTTAAATTCATAAAATCTAGGTACCACAGCAAAAAACCATGAAGGTATTTATCAAAAAAACACAGAGAGGCAACCTTATGGAGGTGGGAAAGTGATTGAAGCCGAACTGCCAAATCATGACCAATAATATTGCAGATTCTTCTTTGGGTCTTATCAAGGAGCTCAAGGTAAATAGTAGGGGTGCATGACCATATGTGCAGCAATATTCTAAGCATGGATGAATGGTAGACGTATGGATATGTAAAAGATTTTGTAATAATGGTGGTGCTTTGTAAGAGAAAAGAAATATTTTGTTTTTCTTTGCTTTCCAAGACCCACTTTAGTCATTAATATATAACAAAGGTGCTAGCGGAATTAACTAGATAATATTATTGTTGGTCACCAGTTTGTAGTGATGAGGACGAAGACTTTCAAAATGAATGAACACACTGCATTGTGGAGATTTATACATATTTATATAAACATTACTCACAAAAGAAGAGAAAGAGAAAATTATATTTATATGTGTACAGAATAAAAGGTAATGAGACATTTACATACTTAGTCATGGTG